TAGCAGTTCTTGCTTACAACACTGAGTATCTAACGCAAACCACATAAAAATAGTACTAAAATTACTTACGTCCTCCAATATTGTTACAGGTTCTTTTTCTTTTTAAAGAACAACACAAATAGTTTTTATTAATTTTAGATTTTCTTTTTGGATTTATTTATTTTTAAAAACTAAATATACAACAACGCAATCACCGCACAGTCACAGAAACAATAGATGCACACGTTATGCAGTCAAATTTAGTATAACCTACTGTTATTGTATTGTACTTTTAGGCCCGGTTTTTCAATGTAATGTTAACTTGGAGGTTAACTAACTTCTACTTGAAGGTTAACTTTTAGTTAAAATAAGAAACGTTTTTTAATGTAAATTGTACTTCTTGTTAATTGACCTAGATTTTAATTTGGCAACGTTGTATTTTTATGTGTTCTGTGATGGTTCTGTGGTATTCTCCCGGTGAATATATTGCCTTTCATCGTGGGTATTCTAATGTTGTTTTCCTCGATGAATGACATATTCAAACTAAAAAAGAAAGATAACTTATAAAGATTTAAGAAGACGCCAAATTTTCAATTCTTGGAATTTGGAATGTTTCTATAAATCTATTCAAGAATCTATTATTTAGGCAGAGACAACATTTAACTGTAGGTCCCGAACTTCATCAATGATCATCTCAACAGTCCGCTTCGACAATCTAAATATTTTGAAAAAATCTAAACTAACATATTGTTCCATAAAATTAAGCCTCTGTCGAATTATTTTTGGCCTTCTCACTATTTCTTCCTCTTCGCTATTGTAGACATTAACAATATTTAAAGCATCCATAATGTCAAAGCACATGTAGGTTATAAAGTGAAGATTATCTCTTAACAATGGGTTAACAGTACCCTGAGAGTAAGGTTAAAATTAGCTTTCGGTTAGTCTTTAACTATCAATTGAAACAGAAATGTTTTAGTTAACATTCAGTTAGCTCAAGGTTAGAGTAACTACACATTTAAAAACCGGCCCTTAGTACTTTTAGTAATTAGGAATTTTTAAAACAATGGGCGTGTCAAGCGTTTGATCTCCTTTTTTCTTTTACCCTGTTCTTTAGTATCCGGTCGGGGTAATAAATAATTATCATAGGTAGGTAATAGGTAATTAGTAAATTATATTTCTTGTTTGGAACTAAGATTTCTTACAAAACCATTTGCTCAAATTTAGGTATATTGTTTATAAAAATTCTTTACGGATTTAAAATTATTTTGCTAATTTTCCAACGAAGAGATTCTAATAAAATACATGCATTTTAGCATTGTACTCATTTAATTTAGTATATAAGTAACTAATATTTAATGTAGCCTTATTATTTATATAGTCCGTAATAATTATAATTACGAGATCGTTAATTGTATATGTGTTTCAATAAAATATCTACGCTTAGCACTTTCAGTGTTATGTTTTCTAGTGTATGCTGAGAATCCCGTCTCTAATGGTCTACGTATTACTTAGTTCTAAAAAAATCCGCCGGGTTTTGCGATGGCAGCAAAAATCAGTGGCAATTACTTAAATTTTATTTTGATCATATCTCTCTTATTTGGTGAGAAAAAATTCTCCGGTTTTTTTTAATCGGTTTTAAATTTTACTTGTAAAGGAGGCTGTTTTTTAGAATTTCAAATTTTATCGTAGTTTAAAAAATAAAAATTTCATAATTTTTTTTTCAAAAATGTAAAAAACACGCTCCAATTGTATAAAAATTACCAATCGACTAGTGAAAACAAAAAAAATATATTTTTAAAAATAAGGACGTTACGGTCAAAAAACGAAATATATGTGGTGTGCGGGGCTCTTAATAGGGCAATGACAATTCTGAGAATAATGATAATAATGAAAAAAATAATGTGTGTCTTTTGTAGGCAATAAGTTTTGGCTTTTACATTATTACAAACATAATGCACTAAAAGCTTTATTAGGAGGGTTCCATGAAAGTAATATGACACATATTCAATGATCTCAGAACTTATTGGAAAATTTAAGAAAGGCTACTGTTGAGCCAATGGGCAATGGTCAATAGTGGCATGGGACATGGAGGACAAAATCTTAAATATTATAATAACAACCTCACAAACTTCCCATTTTAATTAAAAAGCTTCCAAGATGCACTTTTATTTTGGAAGCGGGGAGTGTTAATTTGATACCTCAAAAAAAATCCATTTCCAAACTTCTTGGTGTCATCTTCTGTTATTTGGCTTATAATTAAAACTGACTATGTATTGGGATCTAAAATTAAGATCGCAGCGCCGTCTGTACTTAACATTTAAACTAAATGTTGAGGCCTGTTATTGTTTACATTTTGAGCTTGTAAATAGCCCATTAAAGTATTATATTGTTCTATTTTAAGGAAAACATATTGTTAATTTTAGTGATTAGACACTTTTATTTGAATAGCTTTTAGGTTAAAGTAAAAGATATATTTTTATTTGGTAAGTAATCCCACATTAATTTTGTTTTGAGTTACTTTCTTTCATTTATGTTAATTTAATATATTTATGTTACCTTTTAACAAAATATTATATTTATTCTATTTTTAGTGAGATGTCTGAAATAAGGCTAAGTTTAATAGAAGTATATTGGTGGAGGTGAAAATTCTAGGATTATTATTGAGGAAGAGACCATATAGTTTTTATGTGGGAAGAATTAATTTAGTGATAAACATATATCTGTTTATGCAGTTGTTCTACAAACTAGTGCAATTAATTCAGATCCCCATATTGTTGTAGGCCAGTTCTCATTCGCAAGATGTAAAAATTGGTAAATGGCAATGTTCGTTTTAAGCTGGGAACAGTGGACAGTGCAAACATATTTCAGGATCTTAATAAAATGTTTCAAATAGTAAAAAAGTATCAAGCTAATTCGATTGAATACCTTATGATTTTTTTCTACACCAACATGTATATTGTTTATTCTACGCACAGACTACAGAACGAAAAAGTAGGCCACTGAACGAATATATTTATCCATTCTATGAAGAACACTGAACATATATGAAATTCATCAATCACAGTTCATATTTGGTCACCAGGATACTAATATTTTTTTTAAATTTTAAAATTTTAAATGAGTGACAATTCTATCAAACTAATTGTCAGTATATTTTTTAGTTATTGGGATTAAATATAATTACAAATGAGTGATTATTGTGAAGAATCGATAAATAATAGCACTTCACAAGATATTCTTTTATATTTTCAATTAAATCTAAAATCAGTTTATGATTATTAAAAAAAAACATGTGTCTCCTTGGTACAGAAGCAGAAGATTTATAACTTCACTTTTATGTTTGCATAAACTATTTGATAATCTTATTGACTGTCTACAATTTATTTCAATGTTCCATAATTTCATTTAACAAGATGTTTTAAAACAGATACAGAATAATTGTCCTTTTAAAATCATCTATTAACACAATGTACAAGTAGGTACTATTTTGTATGTTAGTTTTGATATATAATTGACTTGGCCATAATTTGTAGTTTGTACTAGTTTTTAGTCTTTTATAATATTCGAGTATTATTATTCAATATTCATGTTACTTATTCTCTTACAAACAAGTGCTGTATGACACTTTACACGTATTCTTATTCGCACCTTTTTACTACACTGATGTTTGAAATGTTTTGATATTGTGTTAATAAATTATTATATTAATAACATAAGTAATTCATGTGATCTCTTTTTTAATACATTAAATGAAAATGTACATCTGGAAATTTATGATTGATTTTGTACTTGACAGAATACTCTTTTTAATAATTATTTTTATTATTCCTAAGTTTACTAGTCATTGTGTACAGTTACATTTTGTAATCAGTGATTGTACATTGATAATGTATTTTTATATATTTTTTATATTATTCTGTAATGGGATAGTTGAATCTGTTGGTAAAAAAGGCTATTATTATAAGCAATAAACATAAAAATCAAATATTTTTAATTTTTCCTGTTAACAAAATATGTCAATGTTTACATAATAATAAACGTTCTTTATTGAGGTACAATACCCAATAGGCCACCTTTCGAAGTAGGTACTTCAGCTGATTTCACTGTATTTTCTAATACAGTATGTTAAAGTTGTTAATGCCAGCGAATGAACATAACTTTTGGGGTATGCACTTGTACACTTATGTTAATACACTTGAAAAAGAGTTTTTGCAACCTCTATGTCTTGTTTGGTGTGAGTAGCTAGGCTATCTTGAAACATCACTTTCAACTAGAACTTGTTTATTCTCACTATCACATTTAACACTGAAATTTATTTAGTTTGGATCTTCTTTTTGTGTTCTCTCAATATTTGATTTTGAAGTTTATCAGAATCGTCAAACATTTACTTAAAAACTGGCAGGAAGGCACTTGAGATGAGGCATCTGCATCACAAAAAAAGGCAAAATAAAAACATTCAATCGAAAAATAAATCTATATTACCTCTTGGCAAATAATCATCTTCTTTAAAATGCTGTGCATGCGAACAAAATTTCAAATACTTTGATACTGGCTTCTCAGTTTTTAACTTTTGTAACTATGCATTTCTTGCATCTACAAGTTAAGAATTTCCACTTGCATTTTATAAAAATTACCCTACATTTACCAACTTCAGGGCTGCATTGGAGCACACAGCAAGTGTGTTACTGATATTCCACTTATATTCCAATTATATTCCAAATAATATACTATTTTAATATATGATAAAAATTTAAAGCATTAGCTTATTATTAAATAACATTTAAAACAAAATACTTGTTAAATTTTAAAATAACATTTATTGACATGACCTGATAAACAATAAAACTTGACAGAACACACCGTGTCAAATGGCCACAACATTTAGTTCATTAGTTCACAGTATCTTATCTTTAGATCCCAATTCTTTAATTAAAATCGTGTTTTGAACAAATAAAAGATGAACATACATATTATGTGGTTTGATGTTAGACTATACACTTAAATATAACATTTTTTTAAAGATAAAGTGGCTCGGAAGCCACCTTGCTCTCCAAGACATCCTGAATCAGCCTCCACTGTTCAGAACTCTAAGGCACCTAGCTTGCGATCTAGAACTGGCGCTAGGGTAAGATCAGCATCCACAGGTCGGGACAAAAGATCTGAGTTAAGAGCTCGGTACTGGGCTTTGTTATTTGGAAATTTGCAGAGATCAGTAAGTATATATAACAATAAACAATAAGAAACACCCAGGAGATGAATGGGGTACTCTCATTGTGATTATTTGTTAATTTTCTTTTTAGATTGCCGAAATATACAATACTGTAGAAACGCACGAAAGTTTAACAGAATGTCAAGAAGTTCTTTTGGTTCTAGAAAATTATTTGAGAGATTTTACAGCTTTAGCTGATTGGTACCGGCTTAAATGGGACTATGAGAATACTCCGGCATTACAGAGACCTACTTCATTGGCCTGGGACATCTGTAAGACAAATTTGAGTAAAACTTGTAAATCGGGAAAATCCAGTCCTAATTTAGGTAAAACTAATTATAACAAACTGATGTCGATGGTCTTTTATTTTTAAGCCCAATGAAATCTGGGTATTTATTTATTTTTTTTTTATTTTGTAACAATGTTTTTAGGTTCTGGCAGAAATAGCCCAAACATTTCAGGTAAAATAAGTCCAATTGTACTTCGAAACAAGACCAAATCATCCACTTCATGTCCCACGAGTCCTCTTCCCAATATAGATATACCCATTTTCGAAGGACAACCACTGGAAACCTCTCTTGAAATTAACAAGCAAATATCAGAAGATGATAAAACAACCAAAGAAAACCTAAATATACTAGAAGAAAATGTTAAAGTTACAGATGAAAATGTAAAAATTAATGAACTTCAACAAATTACTGAAAATATAGAAACTACACAGTCCACTATAGAAACCAATACGATTACATCAGTTGATACTATATCTCAAACTGATAATAAATTAAATAATACCACCGAAGAACATGATGTTAAATTAGAACAGCAGGTTGAGAAAAAAGACGTTGGATGTTCAAACAATTGTTCCGAGGCTGTCAGCTTTGCTGAGAAAGGTATATCTACAATAGATGATTCCATAGAAAAAGTTTGCAGTGGTACTCAATGCGATAATATTGTCTGTCAAAGTAAGTATAGGTTTAAAGAATTTTATTAAAATGTTTATTGTTTCAAATAAATTACGAAATCATTGTTTTTAGAGCCACACAGAAGAGTTGAACATTCAAAGAAAAAACCAGACTTACTCAAAATAGTTGACACCAAATCTAAATTTAATCAAAAATCTAGCGTTAAATCTCCGAGTATTAAATCTGATAAAAGCATAACGCCAAAATCAAAATCTTCGGAGTCTACAAAATCTACAAAAACTTATAACAGAAAGCCAGCTTTGGAAAAGCAGAACAGTAAAGAAGAAGAAAAAACACCAGAAAAACGTGCTTTTCCAATTGGCAACACGGAGAAAGCATCAGAAGAAAAGGCCTTAGAAGATGTAGAGTCTAAGAAGGCTTCTTTAGAGTTGAACTTTAAAGAACAATCACCCAAAACCATTATTGTGAAAAATTTGGATTCTCCAAGTGAGGATCAAAGAACCTACGATACCCTTCGCAAAGTGGGCGTTCAAAGTGCAGAAAAAAGTACTTGTACTAATGACGACTTTCCAAAATTACCATTAAAAAGAACGAATGTTGTTAAAGTCCACAAAGATTGTCAAACTGATGACAATAGAGAACTTGATAAATCTAAAGAAGTTGAAAAGCCTAAAGAGCTTGAGAAGAAGGATAAAGATCTGAAAGAACCTGATAAGAAATTTAATAAAACAGGAAAAATTAATGATGTGAAGCCTATGAAGCCTCCTACTGCTTTGAGAGCTGCATATTCCACAGCATTGACTAAAAGTGCCTCAGCTAAAGGCGTGCCTCCCAAAGCTAAAGTTGAGATTAAACCTAGTGTTGCGAATGTTGCTCACCCTCGGTAAGTTCAGTTTTCGTTTTATAAGTTTTTTTTTGTAAAGATAGAGCTCAGTGAGTGATATAATTGATTTCATATTTTCTGTGCCTAATTTTAGTGCCCGGGTACCAGTTAGAATTACCCAGTTTGCTCTGCGACCCTCAAGTGCACCTAGAGTAACCTCAGTAAAGTTACAGTAAAGCTTGAGTTACATCATGCACTTTTTTGTGGATGGGAAATTCTCATAGACCCCAGGTGCTTGGTTGAATCGCGCCTGGGAGTGTGGCACTCCGGTTTTTGCAGTGCCAGCCTACTCACTGAAACCTCTTCAAACTCATCATCCCGGCATCGTTTTTTGGACATTCTTCGGAATACTAAGTGGTCTTCAAAATTTTCTTAGCCGTTTATTATTGGGCGTGTCTTATTCCTACCTCTTCCTCCTTCATTTGTAGGATTTCCTTTGCCATCCTTCGATTAGCCTCTCTCCTTCTCCAAAATCATGGCCTCAGACTGTTCTCATTTAAGACCGCTCCTATGGCACCCCACGCCCTTTGCCTTTCTGTCACCTAGCGGTTGCAGTGGAAGATCGTGTGTGCCGGGTATCGATTGCCTCGCAGTACATGCGCGCATCTGTGGCTCTTTTGCTAATTTTTTTCGTATACAACATGAAAGTGCAGTGGCCTGTTAAAAATTGTATCTTATGATAGTCCAGGTGTCTATGTGTTTGTCGAATCTGCCTAGATCATCTAGGACAAACCACAGGTACTTCACCTCTCTTTGAGACTCCAATTAAATTCCTTTTAAGGAGAATTGCGGCTTTTCCCTGTCAGAATTTTTTCTAGGAACCTTTATGGAATATAACCTCTGTATTTTCTGGGGCTAGTTCTAGCGTGTGGCTTGTTAACCAGCTGATGATGCGCCTCAGTGCTAGTTTCACCGCATTTTTCAGCTGCTTTTGATTGGCGCCTCTGACTAAAATGGCAAGGTCGTCTGCAAAACCTATCCTTTTGTTTCCTTCTAGATTGGTTCGTATTGTCCTGTTGTACAAAATATTCCAAATGGTTGGTCCCAGTACAGACCCTGTCGTCGTCACCTTCATGGTTTTCTTATCTATTGTTATTTCTCAATCTTGCAGGTAACTTCCCAGTATGTTTCGTAGGTAGGTCGATATTCCCTTCTTCCTATGTTCTTCTATGATAAAGTCCCATGAGGCTGTATTAAATGCATTCCTTATGTCTAGCGTTATTAATGCTATCCTCCTTTTGCCACTTCCTTTCTTATCTCCACTGCATGGAGTGTGGATTTTCCTTGGCTGAAACCAAACTTATTCTCTGATAGTCTCCCTTTTCTATCGATTTATTCCTCCAATCTTAGCCTTAACAACCCTTCGAAAACATTACTGATTCTATTCAGTAAACATATGAGCATTATACGATGTCGGGTGCCCTGGTGGTTTCGCAGGTTTCTGAATGAGCAACCAGACTTGCTCTCTTCCACTCCTTCGGACATTTCTGCTTCCTCAAGTAGTAGTTGTATATTATGAGTAGAACATTTGGGGCATATTTTTTGTACAAAGAGATAACTGAATTATTTATTTGTTCTAGATTTTTTTGCCAAAAGGAGAATAGTGAATACATGTTTGTTACCTTTAGTAGATACTCACCCTGGCATTTTTATTTTATTAAATGGTGTTAACTAAGTTGGCATGAAAGCTTGAGTTACGCCATGTACACTTGTTTGTATGTTAGGGTTACCTACTTCAATAAAGATATTTAATTTTTTTTTACAATTTAATTTTATAATATATACGTCCACTTTATGGAGCTAAATCACTTCATTTTAAGTTAAGATTTAAATTGAGATATTAGTCTACAATAAAATTAAGAAATGCTAATAATATATTTTTTTTAGTGTTCTTAATACAAACCGGGACACAAACAACCCAAAGCTCCATCCAAAACCTTATCCAATCCGTCTCTCCCTCCAACAGCGTTCCTCTAAACCGGAAGGAAACGTTCTATCACGTAGTAAAACTGTTGGCGACATGAAAAATCCCAATTACACTGCTAGACCATACATCAAACCCACCTCCCGCAATGATCTCCAAAAAACGCCTCTTAGTAATCATAAGTTCCTTCTTCAAAAGAGCAAAACTACTCTCACTAAGGAGCACCTAACTAAATCGTTATCTTTGGATGAATACGCAAGTTCCGTGGAAACTCTTGTCAACCAAGAGGGAAGGAAGAGTTCTAATGTAACTAATTCAAGTAACAGTATCGGTAGTTCTTCGGAAACTTTAAATAATGAGAATGTGAAGGAAGCGCCTGCAGACGGATGGCTTACTGTTAAGTGTCGGTCGAGGTTTAAGAATGGAGGTAAAGGTAGAAGGAGTGATACTGCTTTGAGTTGGACTACTAGGTTCCATCAGGTAAGTTTTTATCTTTTTACCATTATAATACGTGCGGCTACAAAAAAAAGAGAAAAGAACCAGTACTTTTCGCTCATATTAAAAAGTAACGAAATCACTAGTAACGTTTTAGTTACGTTACTTCCACCTTTGCTACATACACATATTAGACCAGTCAATGAAGATACCCTATTTTGAAATGTTCAATTTAATTAAAAAAGTTTAAATAGCCTTAAATAATATTAAATTTAAATTTGCAACCATTTCCGAAGTTCAGAACTAGTTAATATATAGCAAAATGTAGCTTTTCTTTATAATATTGAGAAAAAAATTGCAACATGATTATTTTATGATTATTTTTTGAAAAATAGCGTTTTTGTTTATACTGTAGATAACTCATACAAGTTTATGGAACAGCTATTCCAATTTGAAATGGTCTTTTGGCACTCACATATTTTTTTGTTGAAAAATAGCAAAACAATTGTTTATTTACCTCTAATTTTGTCGAAAAAATGCAAAAGTTTTAAAAAGTGGTTGCAAATATTAGTTTTTTTTAAGAACCTGGTAAATTTGCAACCTCTGACAAGGTCCGCGACCCTGAAAAATGAACAAATATCAGATTTTTCATACAATTTACTGTATGATACTACACAATTTAAATTGTACAAGAACTTTTGTAGTCTAAAGCATTCTTTAATTTGTTTATCTCAATGAAACATGGATTTTTCAAAATAGCACAGTAAATTGCTCTCGGCAAAATAACGATAAAAGGTGCGCAAAAACTACAAGAGTTGATGGAAAAATATTCATTGTTCTTCATGCTGGTAACGAAAATGGTTTTTTTGATGGGACAGAACTGGTGTTTTCATCAAATAGTAACAGTCCCGCCTATCATGGGGAAATGAGTGATGCAAATTTTTTAGAGAATCAATTACTTATGAATTTAACATGCCCAATAAATCCTGGACAAAACCTGAAATTCAGGATTGACGATGACACACAACATTTAACTTGATCAGAATATGTACAAACAAGATTTATTGAACACAGTTTTCAGAAATAAACCACCAAACATTTTTTAAAGTAGATCAATTTGTAGAACAATATGGTCACACAGCAGGTCTGGGGACGATTAGAATCCTTTTTGGGGATTCAAGAGCGGTTTTCGAATACTCAAGAAAAAGGGATCCGTGATCCGGATTAGCCGAGGAAATCCTAAAGGATTCGTATTCGAATCACCAATATTTATTAGTCTCGGGTCCTTTTAGAGACCAAAGTACGCCAACGCGAACGGTCGTTTCAAGCTTTGACTTGTCGTGAACTGTAAACTGAAACAAGACCGAGACTGAAGACCGATTGTGAATATTTAGAAGATAAACGTAATAATCTACAAATTAGCAGTGAATATCCAACATAAAAAATCCTCGGAAGGAACTGCCTGACAGATGAAAACAATTTTGGTGCTATGTAAGGCCAACCAAAAGATATTTTTATTTCACTGTTCGTTTTTTTTTGTTTTTTGTATTAAAATAAAATATATTTTTTGTAGATTCTAATTTATTTATGGTTCATATTCATAGAAAACAATACTTTCTAGTATTCAACATCTTCGTTTATCAACCATTTATATGCACGGCATAGTCCCTAATGGACACTTAGTTGATAGTAGACAATATTAGATTCAGAAGCATACATAATAACGTGGTATGTCACTGACAGGATTCGTATTCGTGATCCGAAAAAATGGATTCGAATTACCTGATTCGGATCTTTTTTTTGTAAAAAGGATTTGGACATAGGATCCTTGATTCGAATCACATCTCGTGATTCGGATTCGTGATTCGGATTCATGATTCTAATCTATTTACCAAGGACTCGTCCCAGCTCTGTCACACAGTTATTCAGTTACCTCCTTATTATTATACATTTAACCCAATTGAAATGATTATATAATTACCAAAAATCTTTGTCAGGTCCTGACGATTTAAATGGAGAGAAGCTGGATATTGCCCATCTAATTTTTTCATCGTCTACAATGTGTTTGGCAGTTTGCCAATCATAGACAGATTGATTGTGTTGACAGCAGAAGTTTGATGCTATCTTCGAGGTTGGAGGTTTTCGTGCCATCCTCTTTGATTAGCGCACCGATATTTCGGTGTGGATCTTTTGAGAGAGCTTTTTGAAGCCTCGCTGCCTGCGGGAAATCTTCGATTTCTTCGCCGTAGGATCTCCATGCATCTCTGTTTTTTTCTGACGATTTTTTTGTATTTTCTGAAGAGAGATTTGTAAGTATCCCAGTCTTCTTTGAGTTTTGTGGTTCTTGTCTTATTAAAGGATTTCCTAGCCATCTTCCTGAGGTGATCCAACTCGTGACACCACCATGCGGTACTTGTCTGATCGTGTTGGGCCAGGTTCAGGGAACAGGATTTCTTATAGGCATCGTTTATTGTGCTTTAGATAGTATTTGAGTACTTCTCCAAAGCATTGTTATTGTTTGGTGTTTCGGCCTCCATCTCTCTCAGAGCCTCTTGGAGAAGGTGGGCATAGATTATCCTGTCCGTCTTCCTAGGGTTCCGAGATAGCGTGGAGGTCGGCAACATTAAGTTTATTTTGAGTGTTAACCAGCGGTGGTCTGACATTGAAATGTTATCAGACACTTGCCAGTTTAGAATTGATTTATAGATACCAGTTGTGGATGAAGTGATATCTATTAGTGTTTGACTGCGAGAGTTTAAAAATGTTGGTGTGGTACCTTTATTTAAAATACAAAGATTTCTGATAATTATATAATCATTTCAATTGGGTTAAATGTATAAGGAGGTAACTGAATAACTGTGTGACAGAGCTGGGACGAGTCCTTGGTAAATAGATTTGAATCATGAATCCGAATCACGAATCCGAATCACGAATCCGAATCCGAATCAGGAATCTGAATCACGAATCCGAATCACGAATCCGAATCACGAATCCGAATCACGAGATGTGATTCGAATCAAGGATCCTATGTCCAAATGCTTTTTACAAAAAAAGATCCGAGTCAGGTGATTCGAATCCATTTTTTCGGATCACGAATACGAATCCTGTCAGTGACATACCACGTTATTATTTATGCTTCTAAATCTAATATTGTCTACTATCAACTAAGTGTCCATTAGGGACTATGACGTGCATATAAATGGTTGATAAACGAAGATGTTGAATACTAGAAAGTATTGTTTTCTATGAATATGAACCATAAATAAATTAGAATCTACAAAAAATATATTTTATTTTAATACAAAAAACAAAAAAAAACGAACAGTGAAATAAAAATATCTTTTAGTTGGCCTTTCATAGCACCAAAATTGTTTTCATCTGTCAGGCAGTTCCTTCCGAGGATTTTTTATGTTGGATATTCACTGCTAATTTGTAGATTATTACGTTTATCTTCTAAATATTCACAATCGGTCTTCAGTCTCGGTCTTGTTTCAGTTTACAGTTCACGACAAGTCAAAACTTGAAACGACCGTTCGCGTTGGCGTACTTTGGTCTCTAAAAGGACCCGAGACTAATAAATATTGGTGATTCGAATACGAATCCTTTAGGATTTCCTCGGCTAATCCGGATCACGGATCCCTTTTTCTTGAGTATTCGAAAACCGCTCTTGAATCCTCAAAAAGGATTCTAATCGTCCCCAGACCTGCTGTGTGACCATATTGTTCTACAAATTGATCTACTTTAAAAAATGTTTGGTGGTTTATTTCTGAAAACTGTGTTCAATAAATCTTGTTTGTACATATTCTGATCAAGTTAAATGTTGTGTGTCATCGTCAATCCTGAATTTCAGGTTTTGTCCAGGATTTATTGGGCATGTTAAATTCATAAGTAATTGATTCTCTAAAAAATTTGCATCACTCATTTCCCCATGATAGGCGGGACTGTTACTATTTGATGAAAACACCAGTTCTGTCCCATCAAAAAAACCATTTTCGTTACCAGCATGAAGAACAATGAATATTTTTCCATCAACTCTTGTAGTTTTTGCGCACCTTTTATCGTTATTTTGCCGAGAGCAATTTACTGTGCTATTTTGAAAAATCCATGTTTCATTGAGATAAACAAATTAAAGAATGCTTTAGACTACAAAAGTTCTTGTACAATTTAAATTGTGTAGTATCATACAGTAAATTGTATGAAAAATCTGATATTTGTTCATTTTTCAGGGTCGCGGACCTTGTCAGAGGTTGCAAATTTACCAGGTTCTTAAAAAAAACTAATATTAACATTTGCAACCACTTTTTAAAACTTTTGCAAAAATAATCATAAAATAATCATGTTGCGGACTTTCAAAAAAGTTGCAAACCTGATACAATCTTGAAATCATGTATATATTACTTCAAGTTTGTAGCACTTTTGCAATTTTTTTCTCAAAATTATAAAGAAAAGCTACATTTTGCTGGCAATATCCAGCTTCTCTCCATTTAAATCGTCAGGACCTGACGGTATCTATCCAGCTCTACTTCAGTGGGGTCTGGAAGAACTCACACCGCACCTGGTGGGTATATTCAGATCCTCGTTGGCTCTGAGGTATATCCCCCAAAAATGGAGAGAGGTAAAAGTGGTATTTATACCCAAACCTGGAAGGATGGATTACACTGTCCCAAAAACATACCGACCAATTAGTCTGACATCGTTATTCATGATCACATTGGAAAGGCTATGCGAAAGGTACATAAGGGATGCGGTGATTACAACAATACCACTACACCCAAACCAACATGCATATTTGCTGATTCAGCACTTCATCTAGTTGCTGACCGGATAGAAAGATTCCTGGACAATAAGGAGTCAGCTTTGGGTGTTTTCATAGATATAGAAGGTGATTTTGATAAAACATAAAACCACCTTCCCAAAGATAATACACTCACTAACCAACAGGAATGTTCCACAAATGTTTAGTGGGTGGATACATAACATGTTCTCAAAGCGAGCGGTAATCATAAGTGTAGAAGATGTGAAGATGTGGCTTGGTTGGGAGGGGATGTCCACAAGGAGGGGTGCTATCACCTATACTGTTGAATATGGTCCTCGACACCCTCAACAGCCGCCTCAATAATGACAGTCACTACACAATAGCATATGCAGAAGACCTGGTCATTCTGCAAACAGGGAATTTTGAGAACATACTCTGCGAAAGAATGCAAGTAGCTCTAAAAATTATAGAACAGTGGTGCAAGGACCATTCACTATCAATCCTAAGAAGACAGAAATGGTCCTTTTCACAAGAAAAAGGATGAAAATGGAATTAAAACCGCCAGAACTCCTAAACGCAAAACTAAACTTTGCAACAGAGGTGAAGTACCTAGGTCTCACCTTTGACAGCAAGTTAACATGGAACTCGCATTTAGAAAACAGAGTTAAAAGAGCATACATTGCTTATGAACAATGCCGCCGAACCGCACCTGGGGTTTCTCCCCTTGAGACGTCGCATGGACTTACACGGCTATCATAAGACCTATGCTAACATACGGTGGAGTTGTCCAGGTACCGAAAACCCAATAATTAACAGCTATCCGTAAACTAGAACAAATTCAAAGAACAGCATGTCTCAACATAACAGGAGCCATAAAAACAACACCGACTAGAGCCATGGAACTCATTCTTAGTCTCACTCCCCTTGATATTTACATCAAGGAGGTTGCTCTGACGTCAATGACACGCCTCCGCATGGTTGGAATAGAACCTGATGTACGATCTGGTGAGACGAGACGTCGTTTCAACGAAATATATATTTCATAAGCCATATAAAGTTATAATAGAACAAATAGAAGAGCCGGAAGTGGCAGGTACGATTCATATCTACACCAACGCACAGTGAACTCTACTTTTTAGTGGTCAAAAATAATTTTAATGATAATTTTGATTATGGGCATCATTTTGGATGGATAGCAGCCCACATTGAAAAATTAGTTGTGCAATTGCGCTATTTGCAGTTCTCAATATTCTGGAAAAACAGAAATGTGCAATTTATTTTGTGAAAAGTTTTCGAAAATAACATTTAATTTTTTATTTTAATTTGATAATATTGAAACTTTTCTCTTTGCATATACGAAATTTCTTATCAGTGGCGGCTCGTCACCAAAATATTTGGTGTTCACAAAGACATAATATAGGTCTCAGTACAGTTGTAGGTAAAAAAACTGTCATTGTGAACCCCAATATGGTCACAAGCCGCCACTGAGCCACTACGTATTTCCGGCAAGGCGAGAACACTGTTTCAAATTGGAGTGTTCACATATATGCGTAGAATACGCAACCCCGTGACATGCTGCCGGAAATACGCACCTACGCATGCACCTGCAAGTTATTTCCTCAGCGAGCATTCACACTGTTCTATTCAAACACCAAAAAATAAATACGCACAAAATCTGCACAATTTAAACGCAGAATGTAAATGCGCAATATGTTTGAAAGAAGACTGAAATAATAGGAACATTTATTATTTTAAAACTATATATTTTGCATATCCTGTTAGCCCTATATGTATTTCTTGAAATACGTTAGTTCAAAATAAAATATTTTAAAATTCTGAATTCTTATTTTTGGCCAGGAAAATGCGATTAAACCCCAGTGTGCGATGGTTATAAAACAAAACAAGGCTCAGGATGTGGAATATACTCCAGATTATTAAACCTAAACATAAAATGGGCTATGAGCAATAGTGCCAGTGTAGTTTAAACAGAGCTAACGGGGATTCTCATAGCAGCAAAAGAAATAACTAGAAATAATATCACTGGAAGGAACATGCTCGTCTATACAGATAGCAGACAAGAACTACTCACCCTGAACAGACCACGAATTTTTTCAGGGTTAGTACTAGAATGTCACGAAGCTTTGGCCGAAGTATCCATCAACAATGTGGTCACCTTAAGATGGATTAAAGGTCACGCCACATCGAAAGGTAACCGTCTTGCTGATTCACTAGCCAAGAAAGCAGCTAACCAAATACTTTTTGGACCTGGCCCTTCTATTGGCCTGACAAAATCGGTAGTGACAGACCTAATCAAAGAACATTCCCTTGTGAAATTCAAGGAAAGATGGGATGAAATAAGAAACTGCAGAGTTGCCAGGGAGCTCTTAAGTTATCCTGACAACACTGCAGCAAACAAATACTTGACTATGACTAGACAGAATCTGCGCCTAGTCACAGGCATTCTGACTGGTCATTGGCAAGTACGAAAGCATCTCCATATCATGGGACTGTCAGAATCCGCACTCTGCAGAGGGTGTAAACAAGAGCATATCCTTTATGATTGCTCGACGCTCTCATTTATTAGAAGATTTGTGTTCGGCGAGTATCGGCTAACACCGGCCGATATAAGAGAAGCAACTCTTGGCGACGTTGTCAAATACATTGAATCTGTAGGCTGGCTCACGAGGTAGGAGGCGCCTATCATCCCAGGAGGATGCACAATGGGCCTAATGAGGCCTAAGTGCCGTGGGGTAACCCACCCTCCACACGTTACAGATACAGATGGGGTATTGCCAAGGATTATTATAACCGGGTCATATTGGTGTAAGGATGACAACTCAATTAAAAATTGTTTAAGTATATGGAGGGAAGCACTACAGACTGTAAACCCCCAAATCTGGTCTAATCGTATCAGTCATACTGAAAAAATTATTCAGAAATGTTGAGACCGTGAAATTATATTTGAACGGGAGGATATTTTACCTGTAATTATTGATTTTAATGATGATAACGATAGTGATTCTTATTTTGAATAAAGCTTTACTTGTTGTTTATTTTTATTATATTTATTTATATTGGAAAAACTACTTCCGAAAGCTTCTAAAATTGTATATATAGGTTTAATGAATTAATTATTTAAAGTGTCAAAAGATTTAGCTCAAATTAAACATTAGTGTTTTATAAAATGTTTTTTGTGATTTTCGAATTTAGTAGCAACGTGGCAAAGTTTACTTTCAGGAGTTTATGACGTTAATTGGAAATGTCATTGCATTTGGCATTCTATATTACTCTTCACAGTTTAACAGACTCCTTAACTCCCATTTTCAATCATGTATTTTTCATAATCAATAGGTCTGTTCCAACAACGATCAGAAAGCAGTCATTGACACCAGGATTCTGCGCACTAGATTATTTAGACCGCCTAATTATATACTGTCCAGAATCCTGGTGTCAATGACTGGTTTCTGATCGTTATTGGAACAGACCTAATACCTTTCATCCCCTTATATTTTTCCTGAACATTTCAATTTGATATCGTTATTAATTCTCAGCATTTTTTCAATTCCCCTTTATCTCTCCATTTTTATTTATTTATTTATTCATTCCCTTATAGAGTTTGATTTTTACTAAACATTTCATATTAATATCGCTTTTGCTTTTTCATTTGTATTTTTTTGTTTATTTCAACCCATTTTATTCAGATTTTTCAAAATCAATAGTCTTCGTCCCCTTATAGAGCTTGATTTTTCCTGAAATTTTCAAGTTGTTATCATTTTTCGTTTTTAACTTAATGGACAAAAAACTTGACATCGGATGGACGGACAAAGTAAACCTATAATACTTTTCACAGACTACTGTGTGAAAAGTATAATAATTATACAGAGATTAATAATGATCTCGTCATATTTTTTTAAAAGTTTATAAGAAACTTTATTATTTACAAAGTACTTTAGCAAAATTTTCAAATTTCCGTTGTACCAAAATAATTTTAAATATTATTGTATTGGAAATTCAAACGTGAAATTTTTTCATTTCTATCTTTTACTCGATGAATTGCCGGATCTAGAAAATATATCTATTTTAGGTTAGCGCTACAGCTAGTCTTCCCGCTTTAGCTCTATTACCGGAAACAACGGACTCTACAAAGCCCGCAAAACCACAAAAATCTATAGATAAAAGTGTTAAAGAAAATATCAACACTTTAAAATCGTTGAAAAACAATTCCGAGCATAATAAATCTGAAAATAACAGAAACCTTTTAAAAAGATCCAATACGACTTTAAGTCACGTTAGTGTTAGCAAACCCTCGAATGGTAAAAACAACACCATACAGGAGAAAAATAAAATGAACATGCAGATTAAGAGAACCACTGAGAGGGAGACCAAGAAAATTGCCGACGTCGATTCGGAAACTGATGACGAAATGAAAATTAAAGTAAGAAATGTTAAATATACAAACATATTTTATTAGCTATTTATGTAACCAGTTACAAAATGCCCTATTTTATGTTACGAGTGAATTTTTGCGGGACGAGCAGAGCGAGGTTTCGCAACATGAACATGAACGCATTTCGTAACGTGTTACAATTTTTTTTTCTAATTTTCACTAGATTATTTTATATAATCGTGTTTGGTAAAAAATTAATAACATTTATGCAATTAATATTACTTTCATGCTTTATTAGTTGCATAACATTCATTTCATTGGCATATTTAGAAAAATAGAAAATCATATATAATTTATTCTCAACTGCATGTTGAAGGGTGTCTATCTTGCTTGCTAAAATTATTTAATTTTCAAGAAAGTGGGTTATTTTGTCATGTATGGTATTTTGATTAGAACAGTTTGTAAAATCCTTCATATAATATTAATTATCGTCCCTCTAAACGATGTCAAAAGGGTGGCTTTAAGGAGAATTGAAGAAGATGAGATTGAATGGGAATTGATGTGTGCCAGCGAGAATCGGAATCTGATTGACTTCAAATTTGCGAATTCGGATATCAATACGTATTGATAGCTCAATTGGCAAAGCGCGGACGGCTCAAGTCCGAGGTTCCAGGTTCGATTCCCGGTCGATGCACTCATTTTTTCTTTTCAATTTTTCTCTGGTTTGTTTTCACTTTGGGTATATGAAGGTATAATTTTCATAATTTCTTAGGGGGAATTAGGGACTTTTTATTTTTATTATTGCCAAAAATTGCATTTAGTTTCGGATTTAAACCGATTTTCTCACTTTGTCTCTTAAATGTATTTGATTAAAATTCGATTTGGTGAATTCCTATTTTATTTTTCAAAGGACTTTCAAGACGAATTAGCAACCGAAGAAGAACATCGCAAAAAAGCGAAGCAGTTATCAGAAGAAGAAGATCGTTTAACGAAAGAAATAGAGCATTTACAGGGTCTTGAAATTGAAGTGGACACAGAAACCGATGGTACAGAGACTGATGGGGATGAGTTACAGGGTGATAATGATGACGATGTAGATACAAATTTAACAATTGTGCAGGATGATGAGGAAATGTCTTTGGAAGCGAGATATGAGCCAATGCTTGCAGGCAGGTTTATTTTTTTAAACATTTATTGTTAAAATTGAAGTATTCCAGAAAATAGGTTTTATTAATTTTTGGTTTAGTTCATTCTTGAATTATACAGTATTAAACTAATATAATTATTTTCTTTATAAAGAGATGTCATGGAGCGAACGCATTGACACCCTAGCAGCCTTAGAAGCCTTAACAGCCCGCCATCCAGGTCGAGCTCAAGAATTACACCAAAAACTCTCGAATCCAGCTAGAAGACGAAGTCTCGCTGAGACCGTTAGGAAATATCAGGCGAAACAAGCCAGAGCTCAACAGAGGAGGCAGGATTTGCAGCACGAAAAGGCCCAAAAATTGCAGGCTTTACTGGCTAGAGTCGAAGACGTAAAAGCCGCGAAACTGCAACTTATCGAGGAAAAGAGACGCAGAATGGAATTGAGGTTAGAATTTTATATTTTTAAATCATTAGTTTACATTTGGCTGTGCTCATCGGCCTCAAATGTGTTGTAATGATGTATAATCGGTGACTATGGACTGTCAATCGCTTCATTGCTTTTTGAATCATAATGTATAATCATAAAAGCGCAAATAGGGTATGCTTTTATGCTTCAAAATTATAAAGTTGACTTTGAACACCTGTAAATTCTATTTTTTAGCATTTTTTCTCGATTTTGATTAAAAGAAATGGATATTCATTATGAAAACATAGAGTACACCGTAGTAATTGTTAATCATTTGCCTATAATTAATGGAAATCAAAGTTTAAAATTTGAGGTTAAGAAAACAAAGCGTAAACAAAACAATCTTTCAGCGTTGGCTCAACCGATATTGAAACTTTGTATATGATTCTTAAAACGCGTACGGTGAACATGGCCATTATTTATTATAATCATAAGCATTTTTTAAATGAAAACCTTTAATTTTACAATCTTGATTCTTTGCTTTCCCAGTAATTTCTTTGCAGATTTTCCATAAACACTTTGTTTTAGTATCAGAAATCTCTATTCTTTTTACTATAATATATTGTTTTTACAATTTTTGTTTTGATCATTGTTTAAGTAGCTCCTTTTTTTATTGATCCGTCTCATAGACAAGCTCCCAATTTTAATTTTTTAGTTTCATTATTAAATAGGTTGTTAACACTGGTTGTTATTTTCAGATTACAAAAAGCGGCTCAAAACAGAAAACGACACATCAAAGATATTGTTAAGAAAGCACATGACGAAGAAGAAAAGCTAAAGGAGATAGCCTTTATTAATGAACTTGAAGCTCAAAACAAAAGGTAATATAATATTAACCATACATTTTAAATAGGTCGAAAACAGACGTGTTTAATAGTGGAAATCATATTGTTTTAGATTGTGTATTTATCATTTAAATTTATCCATTTAATTCAGTATCAAAAAATAAAAATTGATTTTAGAATACAAATCCCTCTTTTATGAATAGAAACACATAATATTTTAGCATTTTTTTAAACTGATATTTGAGAATATAAGGTGTAAATTTTTCGCTTACACCATCTTATTATTTTTTAACATCAACATTTAACCCTAAATCTACCATCTTGTTTAAATTTCGCGGTTGATGTCGACATACCAGAAGCTAGCCCACGTCATATGCATAATCAATAAGGAGTGTTGTGAATGGCCAAAAAGTCGTAAATTGGAGATGAACAACGTGTGTTCAATCAACATATTCGGATAATCTAATCGATAATTCGTAAAATCGAGATGTCTATTATACACAAACGTTTTGGTATTCTCTACTTGCTGTGCTGTTCGTATTTGAAAAAAGTAAAGTGCTTTCAAAAAAGTTACACATGAGTAGCGTCTTGCTGTTCGATCCTTAAGTTTTGATATTTAAGGCTAAGATTTGTGGACGAATATAAGTCAAACATTAAAATACGGACCGAAATATTATGATTTGAATATTAAAATGTCAGCAAATATATGTTGTTTATTAGGTTTTTGATTCGTTATAATTTTGGAATTGGCCTCAATATATTTTAATACAGTTTGCTTTTGGGTTCAATCCATTGATTTTAAACTACCGCGTCCATGTTTAATGATTAATGAATAATAATGCCAAAATGACATCGAAATCCTAACTTTAGTTTTTCAGACGAATCAGCATTTACGATTTATAATTATGATAGCTCATGACAAAAAAGAAAGTCACTTACGAATAGCAAAATCATCTAGCGTTAGAGAATGTCATAATCGCATGCTTGTCGTTTTGGTGATCGAACTTTATTGAAAAGTCCGCATAGCGTATTCGGTTGAAAGTTAGAGTATAACTCCCCTGGTTTTAAAATTCTCAAAGCTCCATAAATTAAATATGAAATAAAAACTATATGCCAAGTTGATGATAAAAAATACAATAGTCTCCATTGAAACAAGAGAAGGAGACAAATAACAACAAACAAAGACTAGTAATAACTTATAATAAGTGCTTAAATTCTCCACCTCCTACTTCCACACGTCAAACCTTAACAATAATTTTCTTGTACAGACTGCTCGAATCATGGTCGGTGAAAATCTGTTACGCATGCATTTCTGATTCTATTTTTTAAATCTTCTAAGTTTTTTGGTTTTGCTTCGTCCTTTATAGTACCCCAGAAAAAATCTAGAGGCGACAAATCAGGTGACCTAGTCGGCCACTGGATAATTGGAGAATGTGCGTATATAACATGGTTTCTATAAGTGTTTGTCAAATATTTGGTATTTGTGCATTATGAGCTGGTGCTTCATCTTGCTGCCACAACATATCACGTCTTTCATTAAGAGGTACACCTTCCAACAAATCGGGAATGTTATTGATTAAAAAAATCACGATATTCTATTCTTGTTAGAGTGTTTTCATAAAAATGAGGACCTTTAATCATGCCATTGAACAAACCATACCATACGTTTATTTCTCAAATATTTTTTAATCTTGTTTCTCTTCCACGGTGGGGATTTGTTGGAACCAGTAATTCGAATTATGACGGATTAATACACCATTATTATAGAAACGTGATTCGTCGCTCCATAATATTTTATCTAAGAATGAGGTATCGTCATTTTGTTTCACCTGCATTCTAGCGAGAAAGTTTATGCGTCTTTAAGCATCATTGAGGTGTAAACCTTGGACCAAGGATATTTTATAAGGATTATATTTAATGTCTTTTAATATTCTTTGGATGCTACTTTTGCTTATTCCAATTTCGAGTGTCAAATCTCTTATAGAAACGTGTGGATTTACATGAAAGTAAACCAAAACGTGTATCATGTTTTCTTCGTTTCTGATAATTCTATTTTGTCCTCCATGATGTTTTTCCGTTAAGAAACGGTTCTTGTCTAATACTTCTTTCGAAATTGGAAAACGTCCTAACAGGGAATTGTGCTATCTGGGGTATAATTGTCTTCAATTCTTGCGACATTCATTAATTATCATATCGGTGTACTCGTTCTAACTAAACACAGTAGATATTTTAAAATAATTTGTTAGGACTTGAAACACTCTAAATTATTACAAACCTATCAATTAAAACTGCCAATTATATCGAGTATATAATCTGCACTTCTGTTTGACAAGAGGCAGATTGATATAGTATTGTTTATAATGCGCTACTAGAATACTTACCATGAATTTTACATGCAAATAGATGAAAATAAAAAAAAACGATTCTTTCACTTATTTATAGAGCGATCTGAGCATTTCAAAAATAGTTGTACATGGTTCTTCATTATATTTCATTATGAATCCAATATGGTCCATTTAACTCAACACAAACACACTTCAATCATTGTATTTAGACATCCTAGAGGAATAACCTTATGAACGTTTCATTGGAGGTAATTCTGTCGCGATATCTTTTCGAACGGTACAGAACTTTAAAATGGCTCGTTTGCTAGCGCTCCTTCGATCAATGAGTAGTGAATTATATATACATAAAGTTTTCTTTATTTTTAAATTCTTTTGGGTACATTGCTGAATTTAAATTAATATTGTTATATTTTCCAAAACGATGAATGTACAACAAAAATAATAAAACTCGTATATCTCATTTTTAAAACAAATATTAGGTTCATACTTAATCGACTATGGGTCCATCTATTAGTGAATAGAGAAATTACTTAATTTACCAATTGTCATTTGGTTGATGTAATTTGATACTCAGCTGAGTAGAGCAGAAGGGCAAGATGGTAGACTATGTTGCAACCCTTTTAGATATACAAGCCCTTTCCACCGGCAGCTATTGTTTGACAGGTTATTGGAATATCTAATTAGGCCTTTCAACGACCTGTCAAAGGGTAATGACAGATTATAATATAGTAACCCTGCGGGCGTGTTGTCTTTGACAGGGTCATTGATACATATATAGTTATATAGATTACTCAAAGCGGGTCATTTTGTGAGCGGCCATTTTGGCTCGCAGGTGCTCATTAATCAGAATCGGTTTAGCAAAAATTGAGGATGACTCATCTGCGAACTAGACTTTGATCGGCCGGCAACAATGTATGTCTCGTAGATGAGTCACCCTCGAATAAAAATTGTTATGCTGTAGTTGTCATATTCAGAATATCGATTATGAGAAAAATACAAAATTTGAAGGGTTTTTATCAGTACTGGTTTTGAAAATATCGTCAGAAAACCATTTTCAAAGTGGTGCTCTTCTAAGGCATTTTTGGATATATGATTATAGGAACTTTCTGCCTTATTTGCGCTTGTATAATACGCTATTAAAATATTTACTTCTAATTTTGGAACACTCTGTATATCAAAAATGAAAATATCTAAGGAAAAACGGAAAACGACGTAGCAACGTTACATTTTTTGGTGGGTTGTTTGCGAACAAGAAGAACTTTGACAGTGTTACTATACAGAGTGAGTGATTAGCTTCCATAGTCACTCTGGATTTAAGAAGAACAATATTGACTGTACTCAATTTATATAATTTGTGTATTTTTAGACACGACTATCTCCAATCTTGTCGGGAACAGCGTGGTCGTATACAAGGAATTCAAGAAGACAGGCGCAAACGGCAAGAAGAAAAAGCCGCGAAGGAAGCGGCCGTTGAAGAACGAAGAAAAGCTCTCGAAAGAGAGAGATTGGAAAGATTAGATAGATTACAAGATGAACGGAGACAGAGAGATGAACGAGTAGGACAACAACAACAGCAAAGGGAGAGGGAAAGGCAGGAATTAGCTAGGGAGAAAGCTAGAGATAGAGAGGTGAGAAAGTGTTTTTAAATCAACTAAGAATAAAACTTTCATGGTTATGATCCATTTGCACTGCTCCTCTTTAAGAAGTAAGCAAACTAATATTTTGCATAATAAGGATGTTATTTTGAGCTTCGCTTATTTCTTAACGATGTGCGGTGCAAATGACTCATAAAGACAAAATAGCTTTTGGTATTTAATCTTAATATTTTTGTTTAAAGGAGAGACTGTCTGCTCTTCACGAAAAACAATTGGCATCTACGCAGGAGCTCCAAAAACGAATTGAGCAAAAACACGAGGACACCAAGAGGAGACACGACGAAAATATGGAACAGATTAGGCAAAAAGCGTTAGAATTGTCAATTCACAAATGTCAAAACGAAGATAACCAAGCTCCGAACATGGTGCCTTATCCTACACAAAAAATGTGTTCTGTATGTAATGTTTTGGTAAGTTGATATTGTTTAAATTTCACATTGGGGAATTCTTTTATGAAAAGGAAATATATAAATAATAGTGATGGGTCGCTTGGAAAAGTCCGACGGACTAGTATGAAAAGTAGTCCAAACACACTTTTCAAAAGTGGAAAACACTTTTCAAAAGAGGAAACGTGTATTGCGCTGGCGCGAAATTACATTATCTAATTTGTCTGAATTTCTTACAAACAAAGGCATATATAGTTTAAAAAGAAGAAACGATAAATTATTACTTTTTTATCTTTATCTTGGTCGGTTGTAAGCAGGTAGGGTTAGGTTTGGCCTAGACCACTGCAGCCTCTTGGGTCTATTGTATTTCCCTGCTTTCCCCGTATTCAGGTACTATCTTTGGAATAGTCCTGTGTCTTTGGTTAGTTTTAATAAGTTCCCTACCAAGTGTTCCTGGGGCGTTCTTTCCAGTTCTAGGCCGAAAAGGATGAAACGTCGCCTAGTAAGAGCTTCGCATTCGAAGATCACATGGTATGAGGTTTCTTCCTCTTCCATGCAAAGTCTACACGTAGTGGGATCGTTGTGTAATCCCATCACATGAAGTTGTTTCAGCAAGCAGTGCCCCGTTAGTAATTCCACAATGGTGGATATCTGAGGCCTTGCGAGTTGTTGTGCCTCAGTAGCCATACTTGGGTTTGGTCCCCTTAGCATGAGCTTACTTATTCTGTGCCCTCTTATCTGTTGCTAGTAAATTTGGTGTTTTGTGGTTATCCACCTGTTCACTGCCTGTCGAGCAGAATGGTAGATCTGATACCTCTTTGGCGAGTTCATCAGCCTTTTCATATCCTTGGATACCTTTGTGCCCTGATACCCACGCTAGTTTTACCTTGTTGTGGGTTGCTAGATCATTTAGTATTCCAAGGCAGTTCCAGACAAGCTTTGACTTGATTCTGTTTGAATCAAGAGCCGTTAAGGCTGCTTGGCTATCTGAGAGCATTAGGATGATTTGTTTTTTTTACTTCCTTCTTAAATTTTATCGTACATACAATTCGATTGCATGTATTTCAGCCTGAAATACAGTGGTATGTTTTCCTAGTGAGACAATGATGTCGCATTTGGGTTCAACTCCATTGTACGCCAGAGCCTTGTTAGTTTTAGATCAATCGTATACCATATGAGACTGCTAAGCAAGTATTTATCTATCTCCTTATTTACCTCGTTCCAGTTACACTTTGACCTGGAAGAGTCTGTTGAAGGTTAGGAGGGGTGTCATGTGATCTGATCCCATGTTTAATATAGAATCATTTACTTCATTTGTTATTCTGGTATGTTTTATATGTCCCAGTGGGTTCCAGTTGTTGGAGATTTCCTGTCTGTATGCACTTATTCTGGCCTCTCCCTTTATGACTAGGTCAAGGGGTGGGAGGTTTAGAATAATTTCCATAGAGGCTGTCGGTGTACTTCTCAGTGCTCCTGTAATACAAAGGCATGCCAGCCTCTGAATTCCTAAGAGGGTATTGAGGGCTGTTTTCTAGTTTAGTTTTGGCCACCAAACAACTGCTTCATAAGTTATCATGGGTCTTGTTATTGCCAAATATAGCCAGTGAACCATTTTTGGTTTTAATCCCCATGTTTTTCCAAATGCCCATCTCTCTACAATGAGAGACATTTTACATTTGTTGGTCACTTTTTGTAAGTGTTGGTTCCAAGTAAGTTTGCTATCTAGGATTAGACCCAGATATTTTACTTGGTTCGTTTTGTTTAGCCTTTCTCCAAAGTCGGAGTTTCTAAGACCTCCAACCTTGTTTTCTGAGTAAAGGTTATGAGTTGTGCCTTGTCAGGGTTTACCAAGAGGTTTTCCTTAACGCACCACATTTCTGTGAGCCTAAGAGCTTTTTGCTCGAGTTCGATGACTGTGGTTTGGTGTTTCCCTCGGATAAGGATGACTATGTCATCGGCATATCCTTGGGTATACAGCCCTTGATTGTTCAGTGTTTTCTTCAGCAGTTCATCTGCCACTAGGTTCCACAGTAGACCCTGTGGGCATCCCCTGTGGATATTCACCTGCATGGTTTCACTAAACATTTGTGCCTGTACTTGCCATCCGCGTAACATGTCTTATATCCAGCAGCAGATGGTGTCTTCTATTCCATGTTTGTGAGCGGCAGCTACCATTGATTTAAAGGAGGTATTATCAAAAGCTACTTCTATGTCAAGAAATGCTTCTAGGACGATATCTTGGCTACTGAGTCCCCCTTATATCTTGGTTACGAGATAATGCAGAGCAGACTCACATTTTCCTGATTGATAGGCATGTTGGTTTGTATGAAGTGGCCTCTCTATCATAGTGGTTTGCCGGACATGCTCATCAATCAGTTTTTCCAATCCTTTCAATAGAAATGACGTCATTGAGTTATTGGTCTATAGGCCTTTGCCACGGTATACGTTGGACGCCCTGGTTTAGGTATAAAGACAACTCTGCTTTGTTTCCAGGTATTTGGTACATGTTTATGCACCAAATTTGCCCTGTACAGCCTACACATATGCGGGGCCAGCGTTTCTATTGCCTGTTGCAAAAGCACAGGCAGTACCCCATCTGGTCCCGGTGATTTGTATGGATTGAAGGTGCGTATTGCCCATGTTACTTCCTCTGTTGTGACTACCTGTTTAGCAGTTTCCCACTCTTGGCTGAAGACTCTTTTTTGAGAGTTCCAGTTTGTGTGGGTTTGGTTTGCTGCATTCTAGTGTGTTGTGCAATCAGGAAAATCAGTTTTAAGAAGTAGTTCTAATGTTTCCATTCCAGTTTTAGTGTATTCCCTTGTTTGGGTTTTTAAAGTCCCCTCAGGGTTTATTGGATCTTTTGCTAGAATACGGTGGAGTTTTCATCCTTCAGTTGTATTTTCAATTTCCTGACAAAATGTTTTACATGAATTTCTCTTAGATTTCCTGAGTTTTGTTATACTCTGCGAGTGTTTCGGTATATTCCCCCACTCATTCGTCTTTTTAGCCTTATTTAAAAGTTAACGTGTTTTCCTTCTGAGTTTGGCAAGTTCGGTGTTCTACCAGCTCACCTCCCTAGAAGTTTCCTGTTCTTTAACGGGCAGTTATTGTGATATGATATTATAATTGCGTCCCGTAGTTGTTCTGCAACTTCATCTATATCATTTTTAGTATTGAGTTATTTTAACGATTTTAACACTGCCCCTAGCTCCACCCCGTATCCAAACCAATAGATTTTATGAGGGTCTCGATATACATCTCCTGGTTTATTGACATTGTCGATTTCCATGAGAATATGCCGATGCTCTGGGAGCGAAGGCTCTCTAGACACATACCACTTGCCAATGTGATTTAAAACGAAGGAAGAACCAAGGGTTATATCAATAACCTCGCTTCGTCTACTGGTTACAAAAGTAGGTTCGTTTCTATGATTCAATATTTCCAGGTTAGTGGTTAGAATGAATTCAAGTAAAGACTCACCTCTTTTGTTGTTGTCCTTGCTGCCCCATGTTATATGGTGTGAATTTGCATCAGCAGCAATGAGTACCTGCAGGCTTCGGGCCCGACAAGTATCTACTAGATCCCTTAGCTCATCTGTTGGTGGAGGGCTGGCGAGTCATAGGGATTGTATGCAGAGGTTAAAATGAGTAGTCTCTTGTTGCCTGCTATGTTTATTTCCATTCTGACTGCTACTAGGTCTCTAAAACAGAAATCTTTTAATTTGAGGATGTCTAGACCATTTCGTATGTATATACAAGCTCTAGTGTTTCCACATTGGGTATTGTATATTAACTTACCTTTGGTTTGTCCGAGCCCTTTGTAGATCCAGGGTTCTTGTATTAGGGCTACGTCTATGTCCTCCCTGATAATGATACGTGCAAGGGTTGCAGAGGTGGCCTTGCAGTGTCTCAGATTAGCTTGCACTATTTTGAGCATCTGAAGATCATTCCTTCCTCTGCCTTTGCACTCTGAAGATTGCCTGAGTTAGGCCCAGATAGGGTTTTAATTGCTGGTTTTCTAAAGCCTTCAGAGAGTCGTCGTCAATCAGCAGTACAATAGTTTGACCGTTGACTTCCACTTGTCTGTGAATAACTTGCCACTGTTCCGTTGGGAGCCCTTAATTTTGGGTTTTGAGGAACGCAAGTATCTTTGTAGTTTCCATGTTCTGCATGGGTTTGGGTATCCAGGCCACAACTTTGTTGGTTCGGATGATCTCGCTAGGGGGTCCCACCATAAGTTGTGCTCCCTGCCATTGTTGGAGCTGGGGGATTATTTCGAAGAGCCAGGTTTTAGCGGTCTCATTGGCACAGATCAAGAAGAGAGCTCCGTTATGGAAATATCCCTTCTTGAACTGTGGCTCTGATCTCTCCCCACTCTTCAAAATTTCCCCCATTAGTTTTTCCTGAGTCTGATTCGGACTACCGCCATTTTCATGGGTGTTAGTGCCTCTTTACAGGACAAGCCACCTTTACCGCTTGCGCTGCAGATGTGGTTGCCCTTGCTCTGTCAGACCCAGTTTTAGGTTTCTTCGGGTGACCTCCTACCGTGGCCTCCGTTGAAGACGGACTGTCACTTTGGAGGCGGCCCCGTTTGATTTGGAGTTCGGTTGGCTCCTTTCTTCTTCGTCCTTCTCTCAGCTCTGGGTCTGATTGGTTTTCCTTCAGCCTTAGCCTTTTGAATGGCAAATTTCCTCTTTTGGGCGTCTGAGAGTCACTCATGCGGCTCCAGGTGAGTCCTGTTGAGTTTTGAGGCTACTCGTTTCAGACTAGTTTTTTCCTTGGGGTTTGTGGAACTGCCACTTGCCTCCGAAGGTTGTTCAGCCTTAGGTCGTTGTCCAGATCTTGATGGAGACGAAGTTAATTCTTCTAGAATCGCTTTGATTTCCATTACCTCAGTTGTTTGTTGTTGTGGAAGGTTTTCTCCTTCTGGGACTTCCCTGTCCGCGGTTGTTTTTGGGTTTGTTTGTTCCATATTGGTCCCACGAGTATCTAGGGAAATAAATGTCCACCCGATCAGAGCCCAGCATGACCGGGTAAGGCTAGATACAAGGGGGTTTCGCCAAGTGCTCCCAGAGGAACGTTTGCAACCGCTTTCCCAGCGGCTATTCAGGCTTCAGCACGTTGCCTTGCACCTTAGCTTGGGTTTTTGTTGGAGTGTCATTCAGTTAGTTAATAGTGTTGCCCTAGAGCAGTAGTATTAACGTATCCAGCGGTGTCACGGGGAGGCAGACACTCGATGATTGCATTTCTCCATTGTCCATGCAGAAAGAGATACCTACAAGCTGACAAGCAACGAGCAAGCAATCCAAACTACAGAGCAATGGCCAAGCTACAATCAATCCCGCCAATTATTACTGACTTTTATAATGTTTTAACGATGTTCTCGAATTTTAGTTTCATATCTTATTAAAACAAATCCGAAAGTTGGAAGTATTTTACAAATGATTTGCCTAAAAAAAAAACGGAAATACAAAAGCAGATATTGAACTAACATCCAGCATGGAGATTTAACTGTGTGTCTTCTATGCTCAAGGACTAGGTACTTTTCATTGTGACTTTTCACTATTTTTCCGGACAGGTCCGTCGGACTAGTCCAAAAATTACTTTTCATAAATAATATAAACTATTAAAAAATATATATTGTTTAAACAAGTGTGTATAAATGGTAATAATACCAAATGACTAAAATTAAAAACAATAAAACATCTGTTTTATGTTTTATTATTATAAAATAAATACAATAGTTATTTCTTAGTGTAGTTGCGCCATTTATTTTACACCCGTCTTATACCTGTCATTAAACAACAAAAAATTGCAGGTCGTGTCCAGGTGCCTATTGAAAAACGTAGATATATCTATGTAAACAAAACCTATTTGGTTTTTTATGCACGCATTTTATGTGAAACCAACTTTATATTTTTTTCCGTTAATTGTGTATTAACCATCCAGTTAATGTTGACAAAATCGGTCATTAATTTTTTTATGTTTTATTTTCAAGCTTTGAAGAAAATGCTATGGTCTTTTTTATTATATGCCTACTCTAACTTAAATTAGGGTGAAACATTAGTGTCTTGTAATTTTTTAAAGACGTTTGACTGCGTCAGACATGAAATACTTCTAAAAAACTATTCATTTATTGTTTTTGAAATGCAACATTGCAATGGTGTTAAAGTTATTTATTTTTAAAAATCTTGGATTTTTAACAAGGCATTCCACAGGGATCAGTTTTAGAACTAATTCTTCTCCTAATCTATGTCAATGGTTTATTTAAAATTAGTATCTGAGGGAAATTAACGTTGTTTTCTGATGATATTCTTGTCTGGCATAATCCGAAATATGCTGCATCTCACGACCTGCATTTAGTTAAAAACTCCAATTTTAGTCATTTTGTGGAAGTTTCCACCTTGAATTTATAGTTCTCGAAATAAATTAAGTAGATAAAAATAAAATAATACATCTCTAAATTATTGTATTGTCAATTTTAAGTTTGTGTGTAGATCAATTTTCAGTTTATTGCCTTCCTATATATCTTGTTGAATTTTAAAGACAACTATAAATATGTATAAACGGAGAAGACCCCTTTTCAGAATAATAATTATAATTCATATAGTGAATAAATAGAAAAGAAAAGACAATATAGTCGAAAGTGTAAAATTGTACATTCACATTACATCTTTTAATTGTGTATTAAAGGAGTTATGATTAACACAGAAATCCGCAAGCTGTGTTTAGTCAGTCTATTGTGAAACAAACGATTTTCTTTTCAGATAAAATCTGAAGTGTACTTAATGAGCCATCTCCGTGGCAGGATGCACCAAGAAGCTGTCAAACAAGCGAATCTCTCACCGGGTGACATCGAACAGTACAACGTAATGCAAATTATCGAAGCTCCTGCAGAAAAAGAAGATCCGAAAGTAGTTGCTGCCAAAGAAAGAGGAAAATCGTATAGAAAGAGATGCAAGAAGATCAGACAGAGAATGGCAATGAGGGGGGCCGAGTACGAGACGGGGTATAAGCCGAATATCACTGATGGTAAGTCATAAGCAAGAAAAAATAAACGAATTTAAAGTATGGCAGAAATACTCTATATTTTGATGTTTACATGAAAAGTTATTGTCTATAATTTCTGAGCTGAACGCTAATGATTGTAATAAATTTTACTGTTCGATCGGATCCAATTTAACCACTAAAATTAATTCTTCTTTTGATCCATTATCATTTTTAGATAATCTAAATGTTTCAGAGTCTTTTTATTTTCTCCCGACTGATGTTTTGGAAATTAGAGGCCATTAGGTCAATAAAAAATGGCAATGCTGCGGGATAGGATGGTATTCCACCTACATTTTTATCACAACTGCCAGAAAATGTCATCTCGGTACTAGCAGACTCTATTAATGCCTCATTCGGTTCTGGTATTTTTAGTGATTGTCTGAAGATTACTACAGTGATACTCTTGTATAAAGAAGAAGAAGATCATAAATCTCCTTCAAATTTCCGTTCTATATCTCTGTTACCTACAAAATAAAAAAATAGTTGAAAAACTATTAAAGAAGAGAATGCTGAATTTTTTTAATAAATATTCTTTCATTTCTAATCTTCAATTTGGATTTCAGCCCTATAAAAGTGCTTCGGATGCGATGTTCGCTTTTCTAGAGAAACTTTATTTGGAGATAAATGGGGGCAATGTGGCTCCAGCTGTCTTTAGCGATTTGTCAAAAGCGTTTGATTGCGTAAAAAACAAGATTTTGTAAAGGACATTGGAAAAATACGTTTTTAGACATATCAAGCTGTCTCTTATAACAGTCAGCCAAGCTAAGATACAATGCGATGTTCCGCAAGGATCAGTGCTAGGCCCCTTTTTTTTTATTACAAAATACCTTTATTTTTAAAATAATTAGCTCAAATATTTTTAATTATGATTTAAATTATATTTATTTATTTAAATTTAATTTAATTACAATGGAGTTTACATATTTTTTGAAAATTTATAAATTAAGTCAAGCACCTATGGATGTGCTTCATTTTAGTTTATTTTATAATTTTGTAATTTTGGATTTTTTTATAAATTTTCAACAGGAGTACATGATTTATTTTAAAAACATCAACAAATTCAATATTATAGTCTAAATAAGTTTTTGAAGAGTGGCATAAAAGAAGGGCTGAAGGTGTTAATTACTCATGCCTTACGCCACTGGAAAAGTTTATTAACTGATTTTTTTGCTGATAGATGTATTTTATGACACCAAAAACGTTTGCACAGTATAATTAAAAAAAAAAAAAAATGCAAAATTACAAAATTTAAAAATAAACTAAAATGAAGCATATCCACCTTTGAAAGTGAATATCTCGAAAACCAATCACTTTAGTTCCCAACAAGAGTACATGATTTATTATAAAAACCATCAAAAAATTTAAAAGTATAGTCCAAATAAGTTTTTGGACAGTGGCGTAAAATTTAGAGGGGATAAAGGTGTTACTTATACATACCGTAAGTTACTGGCAACGTTTATTTAACTGATTGCTTTGCTGATAGATGTGTCTTATGACACCGAATTTAGTAAAATTATACTAAAAAATAAAAATTATAGACATGAATAATTCAACTTTAACACCCGTATTTCGGAAACCAGTAATATTTTATCCAAGTATATTTAGTTTAATCGTTTTATTTTTAATACGAGAATCTTTAGTTGTTCTGTGTTCCATTCTTAATATGTACAAGGGATGTTTCCAAAGTTCTGGGAATTTTGCTATAATTAAATTACGCAGAACTTATAGGCAATGTTATTGGTGTCTGACAAGTCTAGACATGTTTTTTCAACTATCTAGTGCAGTATTGTTCAGTCTGATTTAGGCGTTCGATTGATATAGACGTTCTCATAGAACTGTTTTTGTAACTATGAAAGACACAGCAAAATCTCAAAGAGCAATAATTTTCTTTTTGTCGAAAGAAGGCGTGAACACATCAGAAATTATTCAGCGTCTGCAAGGAGTATTTGGGGAGTCTGCAGAATCCAAAAGTATTGTTTATCATTTTAAAACCGGTAGAACATCACTAGAAGACAATCCTCGCAGTGGGCGCCCAAGCACATCGGTAAATGAAAGAAACATTAATACCGTCGAAGACCTACTGAAAGAGGACAGGCGAATGACTTAGTCAAATTAGTGTACGCCTAGGGATAGGTACACGATAAGTTCATTACATCTTGCATGATTGTTTGGGTGTTAGCAAGGTTTCGGCGCGCTGGGTGCCAAGGCTGTTGGGACCAAAACAAAAACTCAATAGGTCTGATACTTGTCGTCAACTTCAAGAGCTGTTGGCCCGTTACGCTGATGAATTTTGGCAACGAAACGTGGATTCCTTATTTCATTCCTGAGACCAAAAGTCAATCCAAAGAATGACGCAACCCTGAAGAGGAGCCTCCACTTAAGGCGCGTGCAGTTCCGTCAATTGGAAAGGTAATACTTACTGTATTCTGGGATTATCTTCCTATAGTGAATCAGGAAGTCTGTATGGCGCTAAGATGGTTCAATAATAAGGACTGCTCGGGCGCCAGTTTTGGTAACACAGTTTGTGTTGAATATCGTGATACAACACAGGTTTTCTTAGGTTTTATACCATTATAGGTAAATAAAACGAAGGACCAATTTAGTATATAAGGAACACTAAGAACATTTAATGAAACTACGTACAAAATACAGGTTAAAATAACTGTTAAACTTTGGTTATCAAAAGACAACGCTTTATTAAAATTCAAAATGATAATGAATAATAATGTCGTTGGCAGAGACGAAGCACACACACGAGACCACGATACGATAAGATCCGATTCGAGGCTGACAAGCGCCGTGCACTGAACAGTTACATCAACGATGGCGCGAGAGTTTAAAAAAGTTCAGGACCGTCTTGTGTTATTTGAAACCGAACAGTTTGCTCTGCGACCATGTACACTCTGGTGTACAGAGTGTACTCATGATAAACTCAGTGGAGTTAAAAATACCTCCAGGCGGTCACTGCTAACGAGGTAGCCACAAAATTGAGATTAAAGACCCTTATCTACCTTAGACCTCATACCCTACGTACGGTACCCTGAAATAAAACGGTTAAGATCCGGTAATAAAAGAAACAGGGATTAATAACAACATTTATTTACAAAAAAACAATAATGTCACCTCGGGCGCGGTATCGGCACCTCTTTTACACAAAACAAATTTTCAACAAATAAAATTAAATAAATATAACAGTCGAGTAATACTGGAAAATAATTGTAACGGGAATTTACGATCCTCCCTGTATACAGAAAATAAATTTATCGATAAATAAATTTAATTATATATAGCATGTGAATTATAAAGAACTAAAAAAATAATACGGAAACAACAGCTCTCTCTGAATACAGAAAATAAAGTTCTGGATAAATAAAATTAATTAAATAAAACGGGTGAATAATAATGAAACTGCAAATAATTAAAACGGAATTTTCTGGGCCTTCTATGTGCAGAAAATAAGCTTTTCCACTAGTAAATTTTTATATGCAACAGTTGAATAATATAGAAGTTAACAAAAATAATACGGAAGTTTAGGTCGCTCCTGGTATACGGAAAATAAATTTTACAATGAATACAATTACTACGCTACAGTGGGTAAATAATACAGAGGTTGAAAATAATTTAAACGGAAATTTTGGGGCATACTAGCTTGACGGCGGCGATGGCTTTTGCAAATGAATTAGAAAATTACCAGTTCGCCGTGGATGGTGATTTTCGATCGACGTCCCGCAATTTCTCACACTTCGAGTGACTCGGGAGGTTTGACTAGATCGCGATAATTAAAATTTTAATTAGTTTCTAGTTAGACGGCGGAACGGAATCAGTAACTTCGTATCAAAAGAAAAATATATAGAAAGGCCTACTTTGATTTATGTTCGGAAATACGGAAAGAAATAAAAGGTTCACTAACTTTTTTTCACTACTTGGAGAGTACAGGAACTAAAAGACACTTACGGTGGTCAGGAATCAAGAGCTTCGGTGTGCAGGAACTAAAGACACATACGCTGGTCAGGAATCTAGAGGACGAAATTTGTTTCCTCACTCCCATTTATCCTCTTCCAGCAGAAGCACTTCACGTCTGCACAATTTCGGAGTGGGAGAAGCCACCACCAGTTTTGGACCATTTACTGCTGATGGCATAAAAAATGTCCTTTGCGGACCTTGACAATCAATCTAGATAATTTGCATGAAATTCAATCCCTTAATCCGAATATGAATTACGGTACATACGAAAATATTTTAAACTATGGGGGCTCTCTTAGATGTTCAAAACCAGCAATTACTAGGAAATCCAAAATACGGGAGATCTTTGAAACGTTCCTCGACGGAAATTAATTAAAGCATACATTTTTATAATTAATTAAAATTTACCGACTTCGTCACAGGTACTATAATTAACGCAGAATGTTATTCGAATTTATTATCAGGACCACTGCGACAGGCACTTGCCAAAAAACGGCCTGGAAAGTTGCATAAGCGTCCGTTATTGCAACAGGATAATGCAAAACCACACACCGCAAGAAAAACGAAGGATGTTTTGAATGATTTGCGATGGGTATTGCTTCCGCATCCACCTTATTCCCTGGATCTTGCACCCAGTAATTATCATCTGTTCCCAGATTTGAAAAAATCTTTACGGGGTGTTCGATTTGAAAGTTTAACTCACGTAAAACGTGCCATAAAAAGATGGATTAAGGAGACAATGAAAAAGTTCTTTGAGGATGGCTTAAAAAAATTTGTGTATCGTTAGGATAAATGTATTCAGTTTTGTTGGAAGGAGCTTATGTTGAAAAACTACATTGTAACATTGACGAAAATTAACAAAATAATAAAAATTATAGCTAAATTCCCAGAACTTTGGGAACATCCCTCGTATATCAATAATTTGGACGACCGCGATGACAAAATACTCCAGTAGAGATCCATCCTACCTCTATGAGGCTGTAATTTCTATAGATGTGAGGAAAATACCATTTTTAGGTCCTTACTATTGAGGTTCCTCATGCACTTTTTAATCTTCTCGGTGGCCCAAAGCCCTTTTTCGGGGCTTTGCTCGTTTTGCTCTGCCAACCAGAAAATAATTGCTATAATTTATAGTTTGGAGGCTACAGTAGGTAGTCCCCAAATTAAGTTCACTCTACAATTTCTTAAAAGGACAGCTATTATACCACTTACCTCTGCAATATGTTTCGACAAGGTTATACATATATGAACAAATAAAAATATTATTGTACACATTCAAATTTTCACAAAAATCAATAAATCTCACCGAGACACGATTTTTCTGACGTGCAATTGTTTGTGTAGGATTTTATGGTCGCAGATCCTAGGGCTGTCTCTTTAATTTGGTAAGTGCAGCTATTGTCTTCTGAGATCAATCTTCTGACAGCAGCCACGTTGTCTGGAGTTACTGCTGTGCATGGTCATATTTCTTTTCTTCGTCATTAAGGCTACTACGACCTCTCCGAAATTCCGCAAACCATCTATATACAGTAGCCCGAGATGGTGCTTCTTCTCCAAATGCCAATACAAGCCTTTTGACATTTTGTCCTTGGGCCAGGCCAACTTTAAAAGATGATAGCTTGGTAATGCTCTCTCTGTAGTTCCATGTTTCGCACAATTCACTTTATTCTCAAACTGTTAGTTTAAAACTGATAAACCTGAATTTATACCTGATTAACAATAAAACATGGTGCTCCAAAAATGTGGACTAGACACTTTTTAAAGCAAATACTTGTTGTGAATCTCATTCATATCAGAGTGACCCTCGTATTTCATCTAATTTTGTGTTCGACAGAATTAAAGAAAACTTTTTTACCGTAATTGACTTTAATACCAACTACAGTTCACTCTTTTTATAGAGGTAAATTTATATTTTTATTACATGTTATCTTTTTCTTCTTTACAGGAACAAATAAACGCAGTTTGAACCGCAGCATAAATACAATTGGTTCAATAACGAATCAAGCAAGTCAAGGACTATCGCCGGCTTGTTCGAGCCAACTAGACAGAATTCTAAACGAGTTAACTCGTTTGCTTAATAAAGGCGCGAAAAATGATTTGGTGATGTTCCAAACTGTAGGAGGCTTTGCCGTTTTGGGGAAATTGCTGGCTCTGGGTCAGGACGGTAACACTTCTATTTCAAATAAGTGAGTACTTTTTTTATTACTGAATGCTTGTTTTTATATTTACGAGGGTCATTCAATAAGTAAAGAGACAAATGGCTATAGCTCAAAAGCAGTTTATTTCAATCTTTCAAAATTAAGGCTATTTTTCAACATAATCACCCTCCACAGTTATGCACTTGTCCCATCTTTCTTGCAGCTTAAATCGCAATAGACTGGACCCTGTGAGTCCCAAAAGATGGTCAGCATCACTTTACCGGCGGAAGGTTGAACCTTGAATTTTTTGCGAACTGGAGAGCTAGTGTGTTTCCACTCCATACTCTGCCTTTTGGTCTCAGGGTCGTAGTGATGGATCCAGACCTCGTTGCTGGTCACTATTCTTTCAAAAAAAGCGTCTCCTTCAATCAAACTTCGTTGCATTAAGTCTTGACTAATGGAAAGTCTTGATTCTTTATGAGCGTAAGTAAGCTGCCTGGGAACCCATCTGACATACGTTTTTCTGTACTTAAAATTGTTCTGAATGACATTGTGAACAGTTCCAACACTTACTTGAACTTCCTCAGCTATCATTTCAACACAAATTCTTCTATTATCACGAATAAGTCAATCCTCGATTTCAACGAGGGACCAGAAACTTCCACTGGACGTCCACATCGGGGTTCATCACCTACACTTGTTCGGCCACTTTTAAACCGATCAACCCACTTGTAAAAATTCGCATGGTTCATACAACTTTTACCATACTGTATCAACATTCTAGAAAAAATTTCACTTTGTTTTACACCTTCTGCGACTAAAAATCTAATGACTGAGCGCTGCTCTTCTAAGGTGCAATCTTCTAGTGGACTTGCCATGGTGAATTGAAAATTTTAAGGTTATGTTAACATAAAATGATGAAACAGCTGATCAGAACATATTCCAAGGTTGCCAACTAACACCCCTGAAAAGATTGTACACATTCATTGAATAGTTTTAAAATTATAGAATTTTACTTATTGAATGACCCTCGTAGTATATCAAAGTATGTTGTTCTATCAAAACAACTTCCTATTAGATGAATACGAACTTTGGAAATTATTACTTATTATACAGTGAGGATTTATAGGTCGTGTTAAAAAAATGGCCAGCATTTTTTCACAGATACTTCAGTTACTTTATTTATAATTCACATAAATCACTCCATATACTCGTAATAATATATAATAAACATAAGAACAACAATATATTTTATTATTCATTCAGTACATTGTATCACCGAAAAATCTATCACAAAAGTGAAAGCCGACCCTGGCAACAGTTAATACAATTTAACGGTTTTTGGAATTCCAGGAAAAACATATTTGTACAACTTTGCACACCTGCATTTTGATGGCCAAAATACATTGCTCTCTCTGGTGGAAAATTAACAGTAAATTAAACATTAGCACTAGCCTCTTAGCACTCAGATTTATTTCATTCGCGCTAACATAAGTATAATAAAAAATAGACTGTTAAAACACATCCACAGCTGCAAATGACAATATTCTGTCTTTCTCTGCAAAGTAAATCACGCAAACATCTTTCGATACGTTCTCAACCAATCACAATGAAACAAACCCACAATTGCAAGTACACACATTTGACTCGACAAGGCAAAGGTTGAGAACGATTTTGACCATTGACATATCAACACCTTTGTTTTCTCTCGTCGCGAACTCGACGCTAATTACTAAGAAACTTATATTTGAGATGTATTAAACCTGGTAATTATTCATAAATAGTAAATTTACATAACTGTGGAGCTTGGTATCCCTACTTCTATTGTTAAACACTTTTCAAGATAGTTCACTCGTAAAACAGGTTTTCTTAAGAATTCAATAAAATTGAAATGTAAGGTTAATGAAAATGTCGTTTACGTAACTAAAAAAAAAAATTTTTATCTGTGAAACGAGATATTAACAATCAATTTGTGCATAATTAACACTCTTGAAACCTGTCCTGTACACAAGCAATGCATTTATTTCAAGATATCTCGAAAACGGTTCTTACCATATTTTTTAAAAACTAATGTTACGTAAATCAAGAAGTTATAAAATTTTCTAAAAAATCGCTGAATTTTTTGACCGTCTTAAGAAGATATAAATTTTTTAAATAAAAATATTTTTAAAGCAGTTGACGAGTAGTTGCGTAAAATTATTACAACTTGGCAACATTGTAATCACTACGCGTAACAAAATAACATTCGATCAGCTAAGAGGTTGTTATAACCTCGTGACGTGTTCTTAAAAAATTAATTCGTCCACTGTGTTTGAGAACTGGGATCAGCGACTCTGTTTGAACAAAAACAAACCCCTAAAATTAGTATGAGGAAGTCACAAATTTCTATAGCATACCGTTCATATATTTGCGAGGTTGCCGGATGGATTTTATTAAAATTAGAACATATCCATATGTGTTTATATACATGTGTTTTGTATAGTCTCTATACAAGTTATTCTAAATAGTCAGTTCGTTAAAAAAGCCAAAAGTTTTAAATTAAGCCCAATTGAAATTTAAAATTTGAAATTATACGTCATCGGGAATAGACCAATCATCTTGTGTCGAAGTTTTTTTTGTTATACAAAACCAAGCCAACGAACAAACCGACACACAGAATGTTGAAGTGAACGCACATCTAAGTGACATTAAAATTGACACCACCTAACACCTAACCTTAGTTTTTTGTTTTGGTTTAATTTTATTATTAATATGAATCAGCTGGATTTATAAAAGTTGAATCAAGTGTGTTACCCATTGTAAACGAAAATATGATTACCGAGATGATTACTGCATTTTTTAACAATACTCAGTTTACAAAAGTCAGAAAGGTAAGACTTTGTTTTAATAGTAGGTAGTTACAGTTTATATGGAACAATACACCTTATAGAAAAACATATTTATCTCAGGTTTTATTTTTAGATCTGCCAAGCAAGAATATGGGGATAATTTCTTTTTCCATAAGGGGAGACAAATTACACCTAAACATAAAGTACGGCAAAAACCTTCTGATGTGGTTGTTGTAATTAACAAAAATGAAATTTTTAGTGCACAATGGTTAGGATATGCTGCATGTCAAGGTTTGTAATATTTATTATGCTTTTTTGTTTTTATATTACATATAATAAACAGTGTATAAGGCCCTTTATTCCTATAAATATTTTTTTTCTAATTTTGACATATAGACATTTTTTGTAATCGCAGCAAGTGTTAAAATAATCTAGAAATAGATTTTGTTAGTGAACCTAGTAATAATTATGATACCAAAGAATGCTGCAGAGCACCTATGAAATTTTGAGTTAAAAAATATGCCATATTTTTAGGCTATTTTTATACCCTTTTCAAAAATTTTATGCTCCTCGTTTTTTGCAAAACTTAAAATGCTCTATAGCTTCGAACGAAGTCAGCAAAGCACCTCTGTTTTATAAAGTTTTTTCTGTAAAAACAGCAACACCATATATTTATGCACTTGAAATATTATATTTTTAAAAAATACATGGTGCTTCTTGCTAACCTTCGAAAGAAGCCAGCAGAGCAATTCGGTTTTTTAAAGCTTTTTTCTAAAAACCACACCCCATTTTTAGAATAGTTTTAGACTCTTGAAATATTGTAAAACTTTACTAAAAAAATTGCTATTTTTAAATAATACAGGGTGCTTTGTTGGAACAAAGTCACCAGGACACTTCAGTTTTTTAATTTGTTTTTTTATATATAAAAACAACTACTTATGACACATGTTTAGGCTGTTTTAAAATCCTAAAAATGTGGTAAGTACATTTGTTTTCAGAAAAAAACTTTGAAGTCAGCAAGGATTTGCGAATTTTTTTTTAAAATGCCAAATTTCGAATATTTTATAATATTGTAGGAGGTTTAAAAAAAACTGGGGTGCTCTGCTGGATTCGTTTGAAGCTAACAAAGCATCCCGTAATTTTTTATTTTATAATACTCAATAGCCTAAAATGAGACATAGCTGTTTAAACAAAAAATTGTATTTTTAAAAATAGCAGTTTTTTTCGAAAAGCTCTATAATATTTCAAAAATGTGAAAATGTGGTGAGATTGTTTTTTTTAAGTTTTGAAAATCAGAGGTTCTTTACTGGATTCGTTCAGAGCTAGTAAAGCTCTGCTCGTCTTGTTACATAAAATAAGGCATTTTGGAGCTGGTTATATAGTTATTTTGTAACTGCATATCTAACCCTTTTATTTTTTCAGTTGGTTGTAAATATGTGGCTTCATAGAAGAAGTGAGGAACCATCTGTAACATCTACTCAGTGTTATTGGAAAGGCTTTAATTTATCAAAATGCGTAAATATTGATGTACACTTGGCTAGATTGTTAAAGAAACCTTTTCATCCACTACAGGAAAATAAATCAGTACTTTTATATTCTTAGGATTTGTATATATATTTTTTATTTGTAAATAAATTGTTTTTTACTTCATTTTTCTCATTTTTTATTAAAAGGTTAATAAATAAAATTTTCACAGATTTTTATATTTTTGTTTGTAAACAATAATTGAAGAGTTTTTATTAAAAATCACCAATGTTAATAATAATAACTTAAGTCAATATTATTCTTTCTCCTTTTTTAAAGCTACTATCAATAAAGGTATTACTTTAGCTTGACCTATGATCAATTTTTAATTTTGTGATATATTTGGTTCGACAGAAAAAAAATTATAACCCTTTGACATTGGTTGTTTTTACTTAGATTTTCATAACAAATAAACGGAACTGCAAACATGTTTTACTATCGTAATAACGAATAGCAACATTAAATGTTTTTTTTTTCACATTTATCACTGTTGTCATTTTCATAAAGGATTGATAAGAAGGCACACTTTCTGGTGGCAAGAATTGTAATATTTTTAAATTTATTACCAGTGATACCACATGTAGTTACCCGATTTATTGGAATATATAGACTTTGCTACCACATTCAACTGAACTTGGTTGTTTTTAATATTGTGACAGGCATTTTTGTCAAAATGTTTCATTTTAAACTGCTGAAAATAGGTGCCTTTGTTTTGGTAGTTTTAGTCCCAAAAAAATCTATGCATATACAGGTACTCATTCCTCTTTAATTAGCTCGAAAAGTTAAAATTTTATAAAAAATTACATTGGCTGTTTAAAAACTCATTATAATCCCTGAAATGTGATAATTAGGTAAATTAAATTAAAAAACAAACAAAAAAAGTTTATTAAATTAATATTTACTCTTACGAAATAGGTTCTTGTAAGTTAACAAGCAATTATGCAGATATTACTAAGTAAATGTACTTGCTTAAAATTCACACACGAATGTGGTTTTAACATGTTAAATTAACTAACCCTTCTTATAACTCTTTCCACATGTATTCTTAGAGATGCTATTCTTTTACTTAATTGTACATCTTCTGGAGAACTTTTTTCATTCTGTGATACACTAGGTGTGGCTTTACTAAAGTGCATCCCATGTTTTCAAGTAGCTGAATATTCTGAAACCCCTATCTGCTATTATATGGGATCCAGGAACCAGTTTGTTTAAATACCCACATTTTTCTATTATTTCTTTATCACTATTTCTTACACAAAATGATGAATAAATTCGGTATCTTCAAAACTTTCAGGAGATTCTGCATTTTCTTCCAGAAGGGTTTTTAGGTTATACACCTAAGAATTTATAGTAGCCTCATTTTCAATTTCCTGAAGGGGACAATTAGCAGAAATTGCTGCTACATCTTGATAATCCGGTGTATTTTTATTAAAAAGTTCACGAGAAACATCGCTAGTAGAAGGTTGATTTTCTTCTTTCCAAATTTCTAGGAACACTAATAAATATTTTTGAAGATGAATGTGAATCATTATCACATTCTGGAACAAAACACTTATTCGTAGTCATAATATTTATAAAAAGTACAAAATTAAACACTCAAATTCCAAATAAATTCTTGATCGAGACACTATGATGACAGATGCCTGATGGCATACACAGTGCTGCCATTCTGCCATTTTCTGAATTATTAAGTGACTTTTAAAACAATGAAACTTTAAATATGGTAAAAGTTTAAACATAAATAATACTTTCAAAAAACATTTGATATTATATATTTAAAAGATATTTGTTTAACGATGTTTTAGAAGTCTAAAAGTAAGAAGGAGTACACAAACGAACGTACATCACTTTTCGTAAACCCTCTAGCCGGCAACGTTGTACGCTAGCTCCTATTGGTCTATTCCCGGTGACGTCATAAATTTTAAAAAAATTCATAACTCCGGCAAATGAATAGATAAAAAAAATTAAAAAAAATGTAGTTTTATTTTCAACTCTACTATTCATAAAAAAAATTTCAAAATTTTTGAACATGCCCCATTCTTTAATAATTATTAATTTTAAATTTTAAAAAAAGTGACGACTTCAAAAACGAAGGGTTAATATTTTCTCATGAATCCCATCATCAGATCTTGACCAAATTTATCTGAATCCACCCCTTAGGTACCCCCTTTCTAACAAAAAAGAATCAGAAATAGGACAACGTGGTAAAGAATTATCTCTGAATATACATAAAAAAATATATTCCGATGAATTGAGAACCTCCTCTTTTTTTGAAGTCGGTTAAAAATAGAAAATACATTGGAAATATCACCACAGTAAATGGAGTTTGTGCACATGATAAAAACTAAACATATTTTTAATTATGTACTTCTGTTTGAAAAAATAATGCACAGTAGAAAGGGCGAGATTTAGCTTACCAAAATGTGCTTTTCCATGTTGACAAAGAGGAACAGAAAATGTAAAGTAAGTACAAGAAAAATAGTTTTAGTTCATACAAAAGGGACAAAATATATTTAAATACTGTTGCCTTAAACTAATTGTTACCCAAATCACAAGTTTTTAATCGAGCACTAAAAGGACAGTTAAATGAGTATGTTCCTCTTTTTCCTCTTTTTTAAGAAAGTATATTCATGTGTAAACATTTTTTTCTCTGAACCGACTGTCCTTGCATCTGTCTGTTAAAAAATGTGAGCTAATGTCGAAAAAAGTTAGAGATTAAAATTAATGTTTAAAGGAAATATAGGTATGAATATTGAAAAATAAACCTGTCTACTGTGTAGGTATATTAATTCTTAGGAGTAATTTCTTACATTGAGCACAATATCCATTGAAACACCTGGTTTTACATTGAGTGAGAATGATTACTATTTTTTTAACCGTAGCAGTAAATGCCTCAATTTTATTTAAACTTTATTTGTAATAAATTTTTGAAAAATACAACCAAATAAACTTCATTAATATAAATTTTATTGACAATCACTCGTGATCAGCTGTGAAGCGACAGTCTGTCATTTCGAAAACTGCCGTTGTCAGTTTTAATTTCAGTTAGTTATAAGTTCATTAGCTAACGAGAGATTTTAACAATGGTTCTTGCAACCGGCTGGATTACATATATTTTTGTAATCTTCTATGATTGGGTAATTTAAAAATGAAGAGAAAAATATTTTGTTCTATTTATAAAAAATCGGTGACGGCGTGTACACGAAAGTGTTGACGTTATTAGTACATCCAATTGACACGTGAAAGCATTTTGTTAAAATACTGTTAGATAGAAAAATATCGAATCTACTCCAACCTATACATCCTCACTGTATGTAGTAGTAACGTCACTCATTAGAAATATCATCCTTGTCATACATTTCTCAGATGACTGAAATGGCACTACTTTCTGCGCATGATGAATGAAATATTTTACTTTAATACATGCCTTTTTTATCAGATGATTGTATCTACAAGAACGTAGGCGTACGAAGTTTTTATAAATTCATCACATTTCACTGGTTTACTACCAAACTCCTATTTTATTAGTAAAAATAAGTCGAGCACTAAACAAACAAAATCAACGAAACTTAATTACATTGTTTTAATTTTCAAGTACCTAAAAACTCAACAAACTTTGGCGCGATGACGGTTGTGATTCTTGTCATTTCTCTCTGTAATTTTCAAATTAAGGTATATGAGTTAATTTTTGTTCCAGGACTTTGATAATTTGTTGCAATTTGTGGCAGATTGCTTGTAAAGGACCACATGGTAAAAATAATTGCGAATACGTGATACTTTCAAATCGTTTGTCTCCAGTGATTGATCTTCTCAATATGAAGTTATCGGTGAGTACATTAGCTGCAGCTACTTTTATTTTATAATTTATTTTTTCTACGTTCACTATCCAAAATAGGCTTTTGCGCTTTGAAATACAACCGCAAATTTGACGTTTTCCGCAAACTGACATTAAATGACAGCTTTGTCGCTCGTCGAGCGGAAAACTTGACATATATAATATAATAATATTCCTTTTTAGTAAATGATTTATTTGTACGTAGTTTGATGTTTTTTGTTTTATTATCAAAGTTAACATTGACTTTGAATATCAACTCCACATACTTTGATTTTCTTTTACTATACGGAGAATGGTCGCACTGCGCAGCTTTCTGAGTGCCTTTTAAAAGGAGATAGAAAACTCCGCCATTTTGAACCCTTATTACGTGTTGCCTACATCTTGGCGCAATATTTTTAATAGGTGCGTTTTAATCATCCGCTTCTGCTTCGGAATTGTCGGTTTTCTTGTTTTAATCTGACAGGTTAGAACGACTGAACCGACAATTCCGGAAGCAGAAGCGGGTGATTAAAACGCACCTGATATTTTGCTTGCTGCTGTCAGTGTCAGTAAATATTATTTTTGGAGTCACAGTTTATTGCTAAAGAATCAGTTAGCTCACTCGGACCAGTTGAAAGTTCCAAAATAACATTCACTCCAGGGATACAAATTCAGGATACGCAGAAGACTGCTGTTTTATTATAGGCGGTTGTCATATATTGTATTATCTGAGTTGCGCAGTATATACACTGGAACATTGAGATAAAAAGTGCCGACGAAGAGTGAGCGATCTGATTCTTTAGCTATAAACTGTGTCATAGGGTTCAAAATGGCCGCGCCCTATGTTGGGCGTGTCGGACCTCTCTCTTGCCCCGTATAGTAATCAAAGTATGTGATAAACTCCGATTTTCATGATTAACTTAGATGTAGGCAACACATTATACATTACAACAAATTTTCAATTTTTATATCTATTTCTTAAAATATTGTGATCGTAGAAAATATCTTGTGTGCTTTCGACAGATTGATGCGCTCCGCTACGTGTCGCGCGGCCAACTTTCTGTCTCAGGCGGGAAAGTATCACTTTTCGCTCTTAATACACAAATAACTATTATCGCCAACCGTCAATAATGCCATGAATTACCATAGCGATTTGCGGAAGTAAACACTTTATCTCATGTGACAGGCTTTTGGTTTCAACTACAGTGAATCAGGAAGTCTGTGTGGCGCTAAGATAGTGAATGTAGATTCCATAAATACTGAAACAGAAAAGGGAAAACGTTGAAAGCGAAAAACTATTTGAAATACATGATTTTGATTGTATGTGACTCATTATTACTTTTGCAGCGATTAAACTAATTTTTAATTTACTACTTCTAATTTCTATTAATATCTATAATAAATATTTGCTTGCTTTATGTAATGAAAATATTTCAGATTTAGTTAATATTATTAAATTTAGCACATCTAAAATAATTATTATCAAAATGAATATTAGAATTAAAAAAAGCATTTGTTGAACATTTCAACATTTGGGGATAACACAATTACGAGTACAATTATCCTTTTACAATTGACAAGAAAATAAAAATAAGTGTTCTTAAACAGTGTAAATGGGTCCAATGGGCCAGAACAATGTACTATTACAATCAGATATATGCATTTATAAATTTACTTACTATGCGCAGTGCTGGTTTAAGGTACTTTTGTACCGGGTGCTACGTGTAACCGTCGCACACTGGGGCAACAAGCCCTCAAATTTGGCAATAAATAAAAAAATTAAATAGCATATACACTCTACCTCATATTTTTTTCTTATATATTACTGTCCACTACATAATAAAACGAACAAGTGCGATCTTCTGTGTCACGCGTTTCATCGCCACCTTCAGTCAAAGTTACTTATCTGAGGCGAGTATATATTCATTCTTATTTTGTAGTTTTTAACTTGTTTTTGTACTGTGATTACACTGTATTTTGATTTTTTTTTAAATTTCCGCCATGGAGCCTTTAAGTTCAGCTATGTATTATTATTTTAATGAGTAAAAAGTTGTAGAAAAATAAACGTAATCTTATAATATTGGGGTTAAGTAAAATGAAGGTTAAACGTTCAAATTTTAAAATATTCTTAAATACATGGAGGCTATTTGTTGTGTTCCAAAGCAGTCCAAGCTTTAAATTTCGACTTTTCATAATGAATATTGTTTGTACTTTTCGAAATCGTTTAGTTTCTGTTCACTTATTTGCACTTTTCTTCACTATTTGGGTTTTTTCAAAGTATATAAATATATGGCGGGACGATCATCAAAAACGAATTTTGTTTTTTAATATATTTCGTTTATTAATAAATCGATTGTATTGTCCTTAGGCTCATTTTATAGGCAACTAAATATGCTCCCAGACAGACATAACAAAATGCTAGAAATGTAAAATTTAAGATGGCCGACCTAATTGAAGAAAAAAACGAGTCTAAAAGTAACCCATTTTAAGCTCGTTTTGCGTAATAATTATAAATTAAATATTAAATCTAATAACGAAAGGTAAATATCTAACCTATTTTCTTTATTTGAAGGCCTCTGCGAGCACGATTGGTCCATTCAATCGTAAGATATAGATAATCAAAGTTGTCTGGTTTTTATGTTTTCATAGAAGCCTATAATAACACATTATTATGCTTTGCAACGCTGCTATTTTAGTTTTTGACCGATTTGTAGAATAAGAAAAACAAAGGAATAAAAACAAAATACCATAATACCAGTCTGTATCATTGATACATTTTGGAATTGTTGAAATTAAATAAAACAAAAACCATTATTGCTAATGCCTTATATTGCAAAATATTGACAATTTATCACTACTAATAGGTAGGTATATTAGAAACTTTGGAAATTAGCATTAACATGTTAGAATGTAAGCATAAAAGTACAAAAAGAGAGTTTTATTTAGTTGTACGAGAGTCTCTTTCTTGCTTTTAAATCTGAAAAATCTTGTATTATCTGTTAGGTTTTCTTGCCCAATTGAATTATGAAGATAGGTTTTCACCTGTTTTAGCGCGGAAGGTGAACACTCTCCACTAGCATTTGTGACCATTATAGAAAATAAAATTCGAAGGCATGTGCATTTGGGAATGAACATGATCATTTGTTAATATGAAACAATTTCACTAAGTTTTGGGAAGATTTAACTTTAATTTCATCATTTATGTCATGTTATGTTGGGTATCAGGTATTAATGCACTGCGACCTAAAAGATCTGTTGTGTCCCATTTTGTCACTAATGCATCAAGGAAACAATCTTGATGCCTATAACAACCCTTCCAATCCTATCTTCACAAGGAAGTGTAGAATTTGGAGTGGTTTCAAGTTAGGTATATCGCCCTCTTCTATTTGGTATGCTCCTAAAACTGCTTGGTTTCTGGAAAGCTACAGATTCAGTCAGTCGTCCCCCTCCTCACTTAATCTGCAATCACTATCGTATCTCAGTTACTAATTTCAACCCTTAAGAATTTTTTGAAGTAAATGCACACTTCAGGAAAATATTCATACAAAAAATTAAGTCACCTAATTTTTTAAATTGAACAAAAATTTGAACAGGGTTTTGTATACTTTGGATCGACCTATGAATAATTTTCTCTTTACAGACTGTCGAGGATTGGAAAGTAAATGGTAAATCTGTGATCTCATTTTCTCTCAAAAATAACTTTAAATGCCTCGTTCTTTTAGTGCAAATAATATTTTTCGTTGCCTGTTAAGGCTAATCCTTTGGCTTCATATTGATCAAACTCGTTTCTTAGATATTGAAACTATGAAGCCCCTTCAATTCTCACAACAGTTTTTTCTTCTCTATTTTAAGATATTTGTTCTAAATATATTTTTATTGATGCGTAACATCACCGCCCTATTTACCTATTTACGATTTTCCTCCCGGTTCTGTAGTGACCAAATAGCACCCATCTAAAAGGGGTTCTCCCTCCTTGATGCTATCCTTTGAAATTTTAAATTGAATTTCTTAAGGCTGTGACACTTGCGCCAGGGGTTTTGTAACAAAGCAAACATTCAATACATTAGACATAGATGGCGATATCTGTACCGCTAGCTCGATTTATAATTTTATTTTTAATGTACTTGTTCTTGTATCCAGGTTGCCAAATCTAGGTACACAGATGCCAATAAATATTTTAGAAGTATAATATATTTATCGATATTTCGTTTGTATTCACTTGTAAACTATATTTGATGATCATAATAATAATTTTAATCCTAAAGAACCGGGTCAATTGAACTTTTCCACATCGCAATTTTTGGTTTGGAGTGAAAGGTATTTTATAGTTGGGTAGAAATTTTATTACTTTATGGTTTTTCCTATTTCGAAGGGCTTTGTTTACATTATACTTACCTAAAAATTTGCAAAATTTAAATCGATTATTTTATAATTTGAATATTTCCTCGATTAATTTCCATTATAAAATAATTTGAGTTTTCATATGCCTACCTATTAGGTAATAGGTATCTTTAAAATGTATCATAATATTAGTTATGTAAAAATAAAATTTAACAAGAACATGCTCACTCATGCTTTTGTTGATTAGACAGAATTTGTGTAAATAAAAAATCGATTATATCGATTATAACGAGAAATTCTAAACTATGCAACCGACAAGCCAAAAAACTGTCAAATGTCGAACGGTTGAAGTCTAAACACCTAAACAAAACGTAAAATGTAAGCAGTTCGTTTTTCATGTTTGAGTGGGTTTTAATATTTTTTTGTGCTTTTTAGTTATTGTCACTTTTATAAGACTCTTGTATTAGTTATAAGGATATATTTAGTGATAATGGTAGATGGTAGTACGTTATAGTAGTTGGTGTATAAACTTTTATCTTATAAAATATGGGCATCATACAAATGTCCCAAGTAGAAAGGATTTGAGCATAACTAAATAAATCCATTTTTGTTATATTTTTAACAAAAATTCATTTTCAAAATTGTACATAATTGCAAAGGATGTATTATTAA